CCTTTGTCCAGTCGTCTTCCCCCAGTGTTTTGCAGGGAACGTGCCTATAATGTCTGGCCTTCCCTTTGCTCCTTTCCTATTATTAATAATTAGCTAATTATAATGGTATCAGAAGGAGCCATAGAGATGTCCCCTACAACTTCTCCTCAAGGTCTTGGCCACTGCTGCACTGTCATGGACACTTTACACTGTGAAGCCTTGAGGAGCCCAGGAAGAAATGGCAGCTGGGAAGCAGAGGTTTTCGTTGCTGCCTGGTGCCGAGGAAACAGTTTAAAATTCAAGTTTCACCAAGTTATAGGGGTTTCATAATTGCCTAAGGTTTTCTTTTGAAACTCCAGAAGGGCCTCACTTTATGATTAAACTGAAGGCTAAGGGCCACACCCTAAGACTAAAGGCAAAACCAAAACAACCCCACCCTAGCAAAGCCTAAAGCCAAGCCTCTGCAGGATCAAGGTGCTCCACCAGTAATTGAACTGCCTGCCAGAACAAAACCCAACATTCTTTTCAGGAAGATAAATCCAGGCTCCCTGGAACACGTCACCCTCAAGGTCCCACATAGAATTTTAAAAATCCAGACTCCGTAAAACATTATTTACAATGTCCAGTTTATAATAAAAATTACCAGAGATGTGGACAGCAGGAAAAACTAACCCCTAATTAACAGAAAAAAAATAGACACAGAAAACTCAGATGTTGAACAAAAGATCAGATAATGATAAGTGTTGTCAAGAGAATTACTATCAAGTGACGTGCAAGTAACTGTGTGGCTACATTCAAATAGGAGGTGGCGGAGAGCCTCCTGAAAGATGTGGCCTTGTTTTGGAAATGTGAAATGCCAAGCAGGGGAAACAGTACGCAGGCTGAGGCAGGAAAGTCAGGCCTGTTCAAGGGAGGGCAAGGAGGTCATTGTGACTTGAGTGGCGGGGTGGGGGTAATTGTAGCAGCATCTGATATCAGACTGGTAGGCAGGACCAGACCGTGTAGGATCTTGAGGCTCAGAGTAGAGACTGGATTTTATTTGAAGAATGCTGAAATGCCTTTGCAGGACCTTAAGCAGGAGAGAGCTTTATCCATCTTTGGTTGTTTTTCCTTTTACTATGAGTGAGGCTTTTATTTCAAATATTTAAAAGCCAATAACATTTTTTTTTTGAAAGCTGTATGTACATTTTTACTCATTTTCCATTGCATTGTTGCTATTTTTTAATCCTCATCCGAGAATATCTTTCTATTTTATCCTCAGAGTGGGAGGGAGGGAGGAAGAGAGAGAGAAACATCGATGTGAGCGGGACACATCGACTGGATGCTTCCTGCACGACCCCGACCAGGGCTAGGAATGAACTGCAGCTGAGGTATGTGCCCTTGGCCGGAATCGAACCCGTAACTCTTGGGTCTGTGGGTTGAGGCTCTAACCTTTGAACCAAATCTGCTAGGGCTTTATCATATTTTTAATAGGTGCTCTTTTTATATTTGTCTTGATCAAGTTATATATATTTTTCTCATTTGAATTTTGACATTTTTATGACTTTTTTTGCCATGAAAAAAATTGTCATTGAATTGTCGACTTTAAGAACATACAAACCTGTAAAGAATTTTTATAAGAAATTATTTAGGCCAGATTGAGGACAATGCCAGGAAGAATGACAGTTTTGCAGTTTAAAAAAATTTTTTTTCTTTATTGATTTTAGAGAGAGAAGAAGGGAGAGTGAGAGAGAGAGAGAAGCATCTGTGTGAGAGAGAACATCAATTGGCCGCCTGCTGCATGTCCCCCACTGGGGATCGGGCCCACAACCTGGGCATGTGCCCTGACCGGGAATCGAACTGGCGACCTCTTGGTGCATGAGTCGATGCTCAATCCACTGAGCCACAATGGCCAGGCAGTTTTGCAATTTTTTAAATGCATTTGAGATTAGGAAGGAACATAAGGAAGATGCCATAAGGGTGGGAGAAAGCAAGGACAACTTTGAAAAACAGGTATTTTGACAGTGCTTTAATCTAGAGGCACAGAAACAATGTACAGGGTTTACCTAAGGCAAAGATAAACCTTTTACTGAAAAAAGTTAACTTGCCTGGGGTGTGACTACCCACCTCAACCTGCCCAGTTAGGAATTTATGATCAGATCACCCTGTAAAGTTACTTTTGGTTTGATTTATTACAGTGCCCCTTTTTGGTCCACAAAATTCATCACTGTTTTTTTATGATTTCAGCACTCCAATATTATTTTTAAAAGAATTTTAGAACTGTCCGGCCAGTGTGACTCAGTGGTTGAGTATCGACCCATGCACCAAGAGGTTGTCGGTTCGATTCCTGGACAGGGCACATACCCAAGTTGTGGGCCAAATACCCACTGTGGGGCATGCAGGAGGTGGTCAGTTGATGTCCTCTCTCATCGATGTTTCTATCTCTCTGTCTCACTTCCTCCCTCCCCAAAAATCAATAAAGAAAAATAAATAAAAATCAATAAAGGAAAAAATAAATAAATAAAAGAATTTTAGAATTTATTTACATCTTTTTAAAGTTATTTTTTTAATCCTCACCCGAGGGTATTTTTCTATTTATTATCAGATAGAGTAGGAGGGAGATAGAGGAAGAGAAACATCGATGTAAGAGAGACACATTGACTGGTTGCCTCCTGCACAGCCCTACTAGGGCCCCGGGTGGAACCAAAACCGAGGTACATGCCCCTGACTGGAATTGAACCTGTGACTCATTGGTCTGTGGGCTGACGCTCTAACCACTGAGCCAAACCAGCCAGGGCTAAAAAATTTTACATTGTGCCCTGGCCGGTTTGGCTCAGCGGTTGGAGCGTCAGCCTGAGGTCCAGAGAGACCCGGGTTCGGTTCCTGCTAAAGGCATGTACCTCGGTTGCAGTTTGTCCCCGGCCCTGGTTGGTCGTGCAGGAGGCAGCCACTCGATGTGTCCCTTTCACATCGATGTTTCTCTCTCTCTTCCTCTCTCTCCCTCCCACTCTATCTGAACAAAAAATGGAAAAATGTCCTCGGGTGAGGATAAAAAAAAATTTTTTTTACATTGATTTTAGAGAGAGAGAGAGGAAGGGGGGGAGAAAGAGAGAGGAGAGACATCAATTTGTTGTTCCACTTACTTATGCAAGCATTGTTTCTTTTATGTGTCCTGACCAGGGTTCAAACCTGTAACTTCGGCATATTGGGATGATGCTCTAACCAACTTAGCTATCTGCTAGGGCTTATTTACATCTTTATATATTTATTTTTTCAAGTTATAAAAGAAAGTTTAGGCCTGGCTGATGTGGCCTGTGGTTAGAGTGTCATCCCATGCACCAAAGGGTCTCAGGTTCAGTTCCCGGTCAGGGAATGTACCCAAGTTGTAGGTTCATTCCCCAGTCCGGGCGTGTGTGTGAGGCAAGCATTGTTTCTTTTATGTGCCCTGACCAGGGTTCAACCGAACCCGGGTCTCTCTGGACCTCAGGCTGACGCTCTGACCGCTGAGCCAGACCAGCCAGGGCTCAATGTAAAATGTTTCTCTCTCACATCAGTGTTTCTCGTTCTCTCTCCCTCTCCCTTCCTCTCTTTCTAGAATCAATGAAAAATATATTCTCCAGTGAGGACTAAAAACATAAATAAATAAAACAAGTGAGATCTTCATTTAAAAAAATGATAAAAGAAAGTTTATTTAGAAAGTCACAGAGGTAGAAAAGGTGAGCCAGCTGGGATGCATGGGCTCAGGAAACGAGTTACAGAAGCAAAAGAAGGGCCCTTGGAGCTTGGGGGGGAGGCAGAGAGAACGTGAAAGGAGAGGGGGAAAGGCACGGATGGGTGTGCTCCGGAGACAGAGAGGGAAGGAGACTATTTACATCTTTAAAATACCATCGTTCTGCCTGGCCGTGGAGAATGGCCTGTAGGGGTGACAGGGCCAGCATGGAAGAACAGAAAGAATTTAGAGTTTGGACTCAGAAAACAGACCAAATTTTGCCTCCATCTCTGACCAGACTGTGACTTTGCTTAAATATTTTTGCCACCCTTTAGGCAATTTCTTTACTTTTAACATGGACTAATAATAATAATAGTGATCATAATAATTAACATATATAGTGTTATTACTATGTTCCAGACCCTGTTCCAAACACGTTTCATGTATTATCTCATTTAACCTTTACAACAGTCATGACAAGGAAACTGAGTCAGGGAGAGGTTAAGCAACTCGCCCAAGTGACGACGCATTGAATGGCATAGTTGGGATTTGAACCCTGGGAGTTAGATTCGTGCTTTTAAGGCATGAACATTATCTGGAGGAGCTAGTGGCTAATGGAGACTGGGCTAAGTGTGCTGTGCAGTAAGTCAGGGAACAAGAGGAGGGTACCGAACAGTGGGTGTCAGAGACGCACACTGGCTTTTTGCTTGCTGGCTGAGATACTGTGAGTAGGTCACTTCATGTCTCTGAACTCTTCTCATGTTTCTTCCTTCCTCCCTCTCTCTCCCTATAAAATATAATAACAGCTTTGAGATACAACTCACATCGAATGTGAGAACATCAGCCCAGAAGGACTCTGTAGCCTTTAGCAGTCACTCCCCAACCCCATCACCTCAGCCCAGCCACAGGCAACCACTCGTCTGCTTTCTATCAATTAACCACAAAGAAGTGAAATTGTTATGGGGATGTGAATGGTTGGGTATGGGGGGTGGTGAGTGGTTTGGGGAGGTTCTCGGTGGGAGGAAAGGATGGAGCCAATGAAGCTGAGGGGCAAGGGAGCAGAGTGAGACCATGACTCCAGGCTGGACAACTTGGCCAGAAAACCAGGCTCTGGAACAGACTGGGATGAAGGTTGCAGTGTGCTGTGTGATGTGAATGCCTCCCCCTCTCCCATAAGATCTTTGGAAAAGTAGACACCACCCACTTGCCATGTGGAGCTGGGCTTGGTTTTTGAGGGTGGTGACGGAAGGCTAAGACCCAGCACCAAGCGCTGGCCATCAGGGCCAGCCGGGGGAGCCCCTGTGATGGCTTCATGTCCTGTCTTTCTTTCTAGAACCCAGCATCTTCCTCATCTTCAACTCTGGACTGGAGGGCTGCCTGGAGGCCCAGGGTGGGCAAGTCAGGGTCTCCCCACACTGTAGTAGCAGTCTTCCTGCCCAGCGCTGGAAGTGGGTCTCCCGGAACCGGCTCTTCAACCTGGGTGCCATGCAGTGCCTGGGCACAGGCTGGCCAGGCACCAACACCACAGCCTCCCTGGGCATGTACGAATGTGACCGGGAGGCAATGAATCTCCGCTGGCACTGTCGCACACTGGGTGACCAGCTGAACCTGCTCCTGGGGGGCCGTGTCGGCAACACATCGAAGGCTGGCACCCCCGAGCGCGGCGACCAGACCCGCAGTGGCCAGTGGCGCATCTATGGCAGTGAGGAGGATCTCTGTGCTCGGCCCTACTATGGTGAGAGACCACTTGCAGTGGAGAATGTCAGGGGGACTGGAGCCAAGGAGGGGCAGACTCTGGGGTGACCAGGCCTTTGTCTTCTGTAGACTTTGGCAGTCACAGCTTTAACGGGAAGCATTTTTGAATAAGAAAATTATCTTCAAAGCATCTAACGTCTTTAAAAACTACAAAATTAATACACACTTGTAAAGACCTCAAACAGTACGAAAGTGTGTAATGTGAAATTTCCTTCCCTAGGCCTCCTCTCCAGGGAAACCCCAGGGTATCCCCCAGAGGGCAGTTCCATCCTGGGGGTCCTTTTCCCGGAAGCCACCCTGAGTTCCAAGGACAGTGGAGTCCCCAGGCTGGGGAGCTGAGTAGGGATTCCTTCAGGCTCTGTGGGTGACTTGGAGGCCCCTCACCCAGCTGGAGTCTGGAGAGCCGTCAGGGGCCTTGGAGGACCCCTTTCCAGCCCTGTGGGATAAGAAGCAGGACCTCCCCCAGGCTCCTGGGACCACTTGACAGCAGAGGGAGCCTTACAGCCACTGTCTAATGCCACGGCCCCTCCCCCTTTCTGTTGACCACTGCCCACCCCTGGCTCCATGGGTTTTACGGGGTGGGGCCTCAGGAGTCCCAGTGCCAAGGTCTGGCTCCCCTCCTTGCAGAGGTCTACACCATCCAGGGGAACTCCCACGGGAAACCCTGCACCATCCCCTTCAAGTATGACAACCAGTGGTTCCACGGCTGCACCAGCACAGGCCGCGAGGACGGGCACCTGTGGTGCGCCACCACCCAGGACTACGGCAAGGACGAGCGCTGGGGCTTCTGCCCCATCAAGAGTGAGCCGGCGGCTCCTGGCGGGAGGCTGACCCCGAGGGTGCGGGTGGCAGAGCTTTCTAGACTGGGGTGCGAAGTGGCCCCTCCTCGAAGTGTGGAGCAGCCTGCACTCCATGAGGGACCCCTGGGTAGGCCCTGAAGTTGAAGACTGGGGAGGAACCTGTGACCGGCTGTCACGGTGGCAGGTAACGACTGTGAGACCTTCTGGGACAAGGACCAGTTGACCGACAGCTGCTACCAGTTTAACTTCCAGTCCACGCTGTCGTGGAGGGAGGCCTGGGCCAGCTGTGAGCAGCAAGGGGCCGACCTGCTGAGCATCACCGAGATCCACGAGCAGACTTACATCAATGGTGAGGTGGCGGGCCGCCCAGGGCCGGGCTGGCTGACCAGGGTCCGACCCACCTGGGGACAGGGCAGGGTGCCAGGACCCTGAGACCTGCTCCTACCCTTGGAGGACCCTGAGCCCTTTCTGCCGGGGGGGTAAGGATGGCGTTGGTGGGAGCGAAGAGGAGGGCTGAGGGGCGGCAGCCTGCTTCTCACTGTCACTGTCTTGCTGCCAGGGCTCCTCACTGGCTATAGTTCCACACTGTGGATTGGCCTTAATGATCTGGACACCAGTGGAGGCTGGCAGTGGTCGGACAACTCGCCCCTCAAGTACCTCAACTGGGAGAGTGGTGAGGCATGGGGTTCGGGGTGCAGGGTGGCCAGGGGACCCCACAGGCACTGTTTCCTATTTATTCTTCAAAGTAGGGGTAGGAGGGGGGCAGATTTCCCCACCTCTTGGAATGGCCGCACCAGCCCATGAGGTGTGTTGGTGTGAATGAGAAACTAATGCTCCGGGCACAGGGCTCAGGCAGTGGACTGGATTTCAGCTCCGTGTACCCAGTGCACCAGCAGCCTGGCCAGGGAGGCTGGTGGGGCTGGTCCCATTGCTGAACAGGGCTCAGGACATGTGGGCCCAGGTGAGAAAGCAGTGAGAGGCCCTGCGGTGCCCAGTTAGGAGGACTGAGTGGGGTGCTGGGCATCCCCAGCTGGCTCAGGCTTCCAAAGGAGCAGGAGGTTCGGAGGAGGGCTGCAGGGGCTGGGGTGTGAGTCTCTCTCCTGGGGTGCTGGCACCCTGCCCTCCCCACAGATCAGCCGGACAACCCAAGTGAGGAGAACTGTGGAGTGATCCGCACAGAGTCCTCCGGCGGCTGGCAGAACCGTGACTGCAGCATCGCGCTGCCCTATGTGTGCAAGAAGAAGCTGAATGCCCCAGCCGAGCCTGAGCCTCCCAGTGAGCCTTGGTCCCAGTGCAGTGGGGGTGGTGCAGGTGGGGGTGGGGCTCATCATGGCCACAGCCACAGTTGCCACAGCCTTGAAGCACAAGGTGACTCTAATCCTCCCTGTTCTTATTTAAGGGTTCAGCTAAAGTCTGAGCAAATTGGAAAGTACCACTAATTCATTCATTCGGGGATTTGTTGAGAATTGTGTTAAATGCTGGTATTACTCACCTTGTCCTTGTGGAGGTCACAGTCTGCTGGAGGTGACAGACATCTCAATGCATAATTGGATTATCCTGAGTTATGTACTGTTATAAAAATATGTGCAATAATGTTAGAGGAGAAGAAATGTCTAGAGAGAGAATTGATTAAGATTCTGAGAGTTAAGGAGAGTAAAAGGTCTGAGCCCGTGGGAGATCACATCCAAATGCAAGGCCAATGTAGAGCAAAATGATTTTATTCCCCGGGCCTGGGAGCGGGCAGGCTGAACTCGAAAAAGGAATCAGCCTCACATAACAGTTGGGGTGTAGGTTATATCCTCTGCTTCTAGCTTCCGGCAGTTCCTGCTGACGTACTCTGCCTGGCCCACTGTCCACTTTGCAGTTGGACTGGTCTGGTATCTCGTCCTGCATCTGCTGGGTGATCCATTGCCTTACAGATAATCTGATAATCTATACTCAACAGAAAGCTGAGCAAAGATCAAGCAAGCAGCACATTTTTCACAGTTTCGGCCTTTTGCAAGCTTTTACCTTTACCCTTTAAAATGTTACTAACCCTTTCAGAGGGTGTCATGGAGGTGACATCGATTTGGGCCTTTCACGTTGAGTGTAAGTTTAAAAAGCCACAAAGAGGTGTGAGGGAGGGCATTCTTGAGAGAGGGAACTGCATGAGCAAAGGTGTGGAGGCGTGGAAGTACACAACAGTTTGCAGGTTGGTGCGTGATCTGGTTGGAGTATAGGCTCATAACTACTTGAAGTAGGGTCCTGAGACCAGCAGCACAGTGTGCCCTGGGAGCTTGTTATAAATGCAGTCTGAGGTCCTGTCCCAGATTAATTCAGTCAGGACTGTCATTTCACAAGACCCCTGTACTTGCGATTCACGTGTAGGTACAGTTTGAGAAGCACCAGCTTAGAGAGCGTGGTGAAGAGAACAGCTCAGAAAGGCAGGTTGCAGCCAGTCCTTGAAGGGCCTTGGCTGCTGGGCAAAGTTGGGGTGGGCCAGGTAGGTTGTGGGGAACCTTTGTAGGTTTTTTTTATTTTTATTTTATTCTTTCTTTTATTTTTATCTTTATTGTTGAATGTATTACAGATGTTCCTCATTTTTTCCCCTATTGACCTCCCCTCCTCCCCACTCCCGCCCCCCTCCTGCCTTTTCCCACACTGTTGTCTGTATCCATTGGTTATGCATAAAAGTTCTTTGGTTTATTTCTTCCCACCCTCCAACCCCCTTCCCTTTGAGGTTTGTACTTCTTAATCCCTTCACCTTTTTCACCCATTCCAACCTCCCTCCCATCTGGCAACCAACAAAATGTTCTCTGTATCTATGAGATTGTTTCTGTTCTGCCTGTTCATTTTGTTTGTAGATTCCATTGTCGATAGATAGGTAGTCATTGCCATTTTGTTTGTTCATATATTTTATCTTTTTCTTCAAAAAGACCCTTCATCATTTCATATAATAATGGTTTGGGGGTGATGAACTCCTTTAACTTGTTCTTGTCTGGGAAACTCTTTATCTGGCCATTGATTCTAAATGACAGTTTTGCAGGATAGAGTAATCTTGGTTGTAGGTTCTTGCTTCTCATCACTCTGAATATTTCTTGCCACTCCCTTCTGGCCTGCAAAGTTTCTTTTGAGAAATCAGCTGACAGTCTTATGGGAACTTCCTTGTAGGTGACTAACTGCTTTTTTCTTGCTGCTTGTAAGAGTCTCTCTTTGTCTTGAACCTTTTGCATTTTGATGATGATGTGTCTTGGTGTGGGCTTCTTAGGGTCCATATTGTTTGGGACTCTCTGTGCTTCCTGGACTTGTATGTCTGCTTCCTTCACCAAGTTAGGGAAGTTTTCTGCCATTATTGTTTGAAATAGGTTTTTGATTTCTTGATCTCTCTCTTCTCCTTCTGGCACCCCAAGATGTGAATGTTGGCACGCTTGAAGTTGTCCCAGAGGCTCCTTACACTATCCTCATTTTTTTGGATTCTTTTTTTTTTTTCTGTTCTGATTGGGTATTTTTTGCTTCCTTAGATTTCAAATTGATGGTTTGCTTCTTGGCTCTACCTACTCTACTATTGAATCTGTGTAAATTATTCTTTATTTCAGTTAATGCCTCCTTCATTTCTGACTGTGCATCCTTCATTTCTGACTGGTCCTTTTTTATGCTCTTGAGGCCCTCACTAAGTTCACTGAGGTTCTCACTAAGTTCATTGAGCATCCTTATAAGCAGTATTTTGAACTCAGCATCTGTTAGATTGCTTATCTCCATTTCACTTAGTTCTTTTCCTGGGGTTTTGTTCTGTTCTTTCATTTGGGACCTGTTTCTTTGTCTCCTTATTTTGGTTGCCTCCCTGTGTTTGTTTCTGTGTATTACTTAATGAGAGGTATGGGGCTATCTGAGACCAGATGCTGCTTGTTTGAAAGAAATTTAGGAAAACCTGAAGCAGGATCCAAGACAGGCCAATCCTATGGTTAAGCAACTGGCAACAGCTTGGGTGGGCCTGAAAGTTGGGTGGGGCGGGGCGGGGCCTCAGGGAGTCAGCAGGGCGGGGCTACCAGTGTGAGCCAGGTTGCTGGAGTCCCAGATATGGCTGCTGTCTGCCGCCCCAGGGAAAGGCTCACCAGAGGAACAAAGGCCTCTGACAGCACGTTTGTCCCCGAGAAAGCCCCCTCTCCAGCCCTCGCTCCAGTGCCAAACAGCTCAGTTCTTCCCTGTATGTCTCTGGCGCCCCTCGAGCTGCCTCCCCTCCGAGCTTAGAGGGAGAGAGTCCGATAAGTCCGTGCGCGGGCCCAGAAGTTTTGGGGATTCTCTTCCTGGCACTGGAACCCTGAGTGGGGCGCCTGGTGTGGGACGGGGACCCCTCAGTCCTCAGGGAGGACCTTCCCAGCCGAGGTGTACTCCTGATTTTTATCCGCCACATGTGGGTGTGGGACCAGCCCTCTGCCTCCACCCCTCCTACCAGTCTGGATGTGGCTGCTGCTGTAATTTTGTAGTTGTAGGACTTCCATTCAGCTTGATTTCAGGTGGTTTCGAATGATGGTTGTTCTGTAGTTTAGTTGTTACTTTGATGCGGTGGTGGGAGGACGCGCTACTGCGTTTACCTACCCACCATCTTGACTAGAAGATCCTCCAAAAGATTCACCTTTGGCCCTGGCCAGTTTGCCTCAGCAGTTAGAGCGTCGGCCTATGGTCCAGAGACACCGGGTTCGGTTCCCGCTATGGGCACGTACCTCGGTTGCGGTTTGTCCCCGGCCCTGGTTGGGTTGTGTGGGTGGCAGCCACTCGATGTGTCCTTTTCACGTCGATGTTTCTCTCCCTCTCTCTCTCCCTCTCTCTCCCTCCCACTCCGTCTGAACAAAAAATGGAAACATGTCCTCAGGTGAGGATAAAAAAAAAAGATTCACCTTTGCAGCTTTTTAAGCCAGGGAGTGTCTTGCTGACATAAGAGATTCACAGAGATAGCTCCAGGGACCTCAAGGAAGAGTTGGAGGGTGGGGGCCAATGGGCAGGGCACTACTTTGGGGACTCTGCCCCTCACTGGTGTGTGGCCTTGGGTAAGCAGCTGTCTCTGAGGTGCAAATCGAGAGACCTGGCCCGGCCCAAAGGAGCATCTCCTTAGGTGGCAGGAGGTGTCTGTCTTCTGTAGGTTGGTGGGGCCCCTGCAGGAATCCAGGGACCCTGGGAATGGGATGGTGAAGAGGGAGTTTTCCCAAGCAAAATATTGCAAAACCAGAAAGTAATAAAATCCACAAATGCATAGAAAGTAAAGAGCTTACAGAGTGAAAGTTCTGCTTTTGACCAAAATGTGGCTTTGGACTTCCCTTTGTCCCAGCCCACTTCTATCTGTATGAGTCTGTCCATCTGTCCGCTTCTGCTTTCTCCTCTTCCCTCTTAGGTCAGGAACAAAGGATTCCAACCTTGGCACGCCATCTCTAGCTGGAGGGGGATTAGACACCAATCCCAGGTCTTTCAGAAGCGGCTCTTAGAAGGAGGACCCAGTTTGGGCAGGCCTAGTCCCTCTGTGGTGCCCCTAGGATCTGGCCCCTCACCAAGTTCTCTGTCCCCTAGGTCTCCCTGGTGTGGCCTCTGTGGCGAGTCATCTCCTGAAGCTGCAGATCTGTCTATGGCTTTGGACTTTCTCTTTTTTTTTTTTAATAAATTCATTTTTATTTATTTAAATTTTTTCTTTATTGATTTAGAGAGAGAGGAAGGGAGAGAAAGAAACATCGATGAAAGAGAACATTGATTGGCCACCTCCTGCATGCCCCGCACTGGGGATCGGGCCCACAACCTGGGCATGTGCCCTGACCAGGGATCGAACTGGTAACTTCTTGGTGCATGGGTGGTGCTCAACCACTGAGCCACACTGGCTGGGCTTTGGACTTTTTTTTTTATCCTCACCTGAAGACATTTTTTCGATATTTTGTTCAGATAGAGTGGGAGAGAGAGAGAGAAACATCGATGTGAAAGGGACACATCGAGTGGTTGCCACCCACACGACCCAACCAGGGCCGGGACAAACTGCAACCGAGGTACGTGCCCTTAGCGGGAACTGAACGTGGGTCTCTCCGGACCACAGGCTGACGCTCTAACCGCTGAGCCAAATCGGCCAGGGCTGGACTTGCTCTTTCATCCCATCTCACTTCTTTCTCTATGAGGCATTTTTCTAGGCAGTTTCTTCTGCCTTCCAGGTCTCATCACTCAGAGCATGTCATTTCCAAACAGGCACCCTTGTGCCCCCAAAGCATCCACATTTCCTGTGCTCCCTTCTTCCCACAGCCCAAAACAGGCCCCTGGGATCTGAACAGCCAGTAAACTCTGGGTCCGTCAGGGCCAGCAGCCCTGGGTCTTTGCTCCATGGCCAAAGAGATGTCTGACAGGCCCCTAGCCCAGGATCCCTGCCCACTTGGCAGGGTTTCCAGGAAATGGGATGGCTGGACCCCGGAGCAGCTCCCAGAATGCAGTGGATCCCAGAATCCCAGTCTTGGGAGATGCTTCTAGTAGACACATGCTTACCCACCCAGCCAGGCAGAATCCTGCCCAAGCTTCACATTGTGGGTGGTTTGGTAAGATCTTATTTTCTCTTGCCAGGGCCCAAGTGAGGGCTGGTTTGTCTTAGCTTCCCTTGGACCCCGATCCCCTGAGGTTGAACCTGAAATGCATGGAAGTAGGGGTGAGGAAGGGCCTGGGACCAGTCAGTTTGTCGGCCCTGAGGAGCAGGGAGAGGAGCTGGGGTGGGGGAAGTGGCAAGTGGAGAAATCCCAGCCAGGAACGCCAGCCAACCAGCAGTGACTTCACCTGCCACGCCCTGGTGGGGCCTCGTTTCTTTAGTCCCTTCATCCTGGACCACCAGGGCCAGCACAGAGTCCACACTCAGGAGATGTTATTTGAGATAATGACATTGGTTTAATTTATTAAGCAAGGTAGACATGAGCTAAGTTCGGATCTTCTGTGACGTCCATTTACAGAAGCAGAAGCAGGCTCCCAGGGCTGATCTGTCCTGCATCCCTGCCTGTCTCTCTCTCAGAACCCCAGCTAGAGGGGCCTCCTGTCTTGGGTGGAATTTGCTCCCACCTCCCGGGTTCTGCCTGTGGGCCTGGGGTTTTGTCTTTTCATCATCATTCAGCATTCAGACCTGTCCTGGTGGGAAAGGCTGGTGTGGGACAGGTTTGGGGAGGAAATGACTGTGTTAATGCCCAGTGGGTCAGTGCCCGGGCTGGGCGGCTTGATTCCTGAGCAGCGGCCTCGCGGGTCTCTGCAGACGTGTGGGCCAACGTGAAGGTGGAGTGCGAGCCCAGCTGGCAGCCCTTCCAGGGCCACTGCTACCGCCTGCAAGCTGAGAAGCGCAGCTGGCAGGAGTCCAAGAAGGCGTGTCTGCGGGGCGGAGGGGACCTGCTCAGCATCCACAGCACGGCCGAGCTGGAGTTCATCACCAAGCAGATCAAGCAGGGTGAGGGCTGCTCGTCCACTGCTGGTCTGGGGTGGAGGACAGGCCTCCTGATGCCCATCCGGTCCTGCCCAGGAGGCTCAGGGACTGTCCCTTCCTCCCCTGCTGGTGGCTGAGGCTGACCTCTCCATGTCCTCCCTCTCCCATCTCTTTCTGCGCCCCCAGAGGTGGAGGAGCTGTGGATTGGCCTCAACGACTTGAAACTGCAGATGAATTTTGAGTGGTCCGATGGGAGCGTTGTGAGCTTCACCCATTGGCACCCCTTTGAGCCTAACAACTTCCGGGACAGCCTGGAGGACTGTGTCACCATTTGGGGGCCGGTAAGAACCCTTCTCCCTGTCACAGGGCCCCAAATGCACCCCAGCCTTCTCGTGTGACCCCAGTCCTATTGGTGCCTGCCTGGAACCCCACCCCATGGCCTCTCAGAAGCCCCATCTTTCCCACCAACCTTCCCTTCCCCCTGGGAGACTGTCAGTGATTGACCCCCCCCTCCTCCCCCAACTAGCTGGGTCACCTTGGGCAAGCTATTTAACGTCTCTGTACCTCCGTTTCCTCATCTGTCAATGGAACACTAATGGTGCCAACCTGAGGGGGGCCATTGGGAATGTTAAAGGAGTGAATTCTTACGAAGCCTTAGGGTGCTGCCTGGAGCCATCCTGGTCTCCCGCTGGCTACTGTTCCCCGTTGGCAGTTGGCATCGGCACCCACGCTATGTGGACATGCTCCAAGGCCAGGCTGCTCTGTGCAGGGCCCTGTCTCCTCGTGAACTTGGGGTGATGACTGTTTGCCATGGCTTTGAATCAGATACATGTGGGCAGATGGAGGAATTGATGCAAGGCTTCATGCAGAGATAAGAGACCCTTTAAAAAGGAACAAAGTACCAGGGACAGACTACCCACTCCTGGGACAGATAGGACACTCTTGTGAGATGTCTCAAACTGTGCCAGGGACTATAAAGACAGAGCCATCTAGAGCAGGAGATGCTGCTTTGAAATGTATAAACAATTGCTTGTTGAGGGTCTGCTGTGTGTCAGGCCTTCTCTTGGGGGCCGGGTACACAAGCAACTCCGCCCTCAGGATGGAGCTAAAGGCAGACACTACTGGCTGGGAGTCTGAGGACAGAGGAGGGCGAAGGCGTCAGGAGGGGCTGAGGACCGAATTCCTGTTTAGTGCCACCATCTGAGATTTGGGTCTGGGCACATAGTCTCTGCTCAGCCTGGCTCTGTGGATACTGGCTGGACACCTTGCAGAACTGGGACTCTTGTCTGTCTGTCCTACCATCGGTTACGCTAAGTCTCAGCCAGCGTGTCCTGGGTGTTTATGAAATGAGCTATAAGTAATCTAAAGGAGTGTCTCTTCCCATTTAGGCAATGCATTTTTAAGGCATTTGCACATCAACTCTATGCTTTTATCAGCCCCGTGAGGCTTATTGAACTAATCTCACTCTCCCCATTTTATAGCCCAGAACAGAGAGGTCAAGCCTCTTGCTCAGAATCACACAGCAAGCAGAGAGGCAGGGTCAGCGGGAGGGTTTGGGAGATTTGGGGGAGGGGTCTGAGACTCCGGTTCACCCTGTGTCCCCAGGAAGGTCGCTGGAATGACAGTCCCTGTAACCAGTCCTTGCCATCCATCTGTAAGAAAGCAGGCCAGCTGAGCCAGGGCACCACTGAAGAGGACCATGGCTGCAGGAAGGTGAGGGTGCTTCTGGATCTGGGTGCTTACTGGTGGCCAGCCAGAGGGGCTCCCAGAAGTGGGGGATGGAAACCCTGCAGCCGCCCACTCTGCCCTCCCTTCTCTGGCATACCCCACTTCCCACTGTTCCTTTCCAGAAGTGCAGTTGCGTAGGGTGGGGTGGGGGCTGTTGGGAGGAAGCAGAGCTCCCCACCCCTGTCCCTGGGCCCCCTCTCCATGGGGAAGCCACCTTCCAGAGGCAGCGGAGAACAGGAGATGGCAGGGGGCACCCCGAGTCTGGCCGTCTGCACCTGAGTGGAGCTGGCAGGATGAGCGCGTGTCCTCTGTGCACCTGTCTTGGCTGGCACACATCTTGCCATCTGATACAGTGGGTGCTGTCTGTCTGTCTCCTCCTGAGGAATGAGGCCAGTCTGGTGTCTCCCTCCTTGTGCTCCAAGCTCCAGGGACTACCAAATGTTCAGGGAGGAGGGGATTAGGGCCCAACGGGGGTAAGTGAGTGGGGAGTGAGTGTGTGAATGAGGTCAAGAGTTAGGTGATCAGTCCATCTCCCTCCAGCCCACCCAGGCTGCCCCCCTGCCCCCTGAGCAGGAGTGTGAGTGGTGTGGATGTGTATGGGGAGGTTGCTCATAGTGGACACAGTGGTGTTTTGGCCTCTGACAGCCCCATCTACCAAGGCCACCGTCCTCCTGCCAGCCCCTTGCCAGTCTGACCCCTCTGTTTTCCTTTGGATTAAGTCCCCTTACTATTAGACTCCACCTGTACCCCAAACTCTCCCCCAGGGGAGGAGCAGGAAATGCCAACATGACCTCCAGTGGGGAGGCAGGAGAGAGCATACGCCTGGCTGAAGAGTCTGGGGGTCCAGCATGGTCAGAGACTGGCCTAAGGGCTCTGGCCTGGCTGGGTAAGGCAGGGGTGGGGGGTAGAGAGGAATTACTACTAATTGCCCTGGCACCAGAGCTAGCCTGGAATGTGTAGGGGATGCTAGGTAGCCATGGTTTACACCCTGAGAGAGCCGGGGTCTTAGCATAGCCCTGCTGGGCATATGAGACCACCCCCCACCCCCGGCCATACACATGCACATACACACCAGCTTCTCTTCTGCCCTGGCTCCTGCCCAAAGCCCCGTATCTCTCCCTCTCCCAACCTAGAGCCCGTCCCAGGTCTTCCCACCTCAAGGCTGCAGGCAGAGGCCCTGGCAGGGACCTGCAGTCATCTTGGGAGGAGCAGGGCTTGGTGAGGGCGGGCATGACCTCTGTGGCTTCCTCTTACCGCCGAGTACAAAATCCAGTCACCTCATCTCTGTTCCTCATCGGCAGGGGCAGAGGGCCCTCGGGGCGGCCCACGGGTACTGGCGGTCTTTCCTCCGCAGCTCTGCTGGCCCGCGGAGGTTCCTCTCCCCTCCCAACCCCCAGGCCAGTCACATCCTCCACTTACCCGGCTTTTCCAGGCCCCGAAGATCACCCAGCCCCCTCCACGTCCTGGCGGCTCTCCCAGCTCTTTGGCTCTGGTTTCTCAGCCAACTGGCAATGTTCCCACTGCTTCTCTTGGTTTAAATGTTCAAGAGAGGAGTCTGATGGGCCACTTATCTTTCTGCGTCAGGCCACAGGCCGGGTCACTGGCTGTCCTCGATCAGCCATCCTTGGGCCATGCTTCCACCCTGGTCTGGTGGGAGGGGGAGTGTGGAGTGACAGGTACAGAATACAGCCCAGGAAGGGCCATCTCTGCTGTCAAACCAGTTCCCTCTGTCCTGTGCCCAAGCCTACAGCACATCCAGTGATGCCTCTGATGGTATCCCCCTGCCCCAGGATTTGTGGGTAAGAGAGGAGTATCCTCCCCACAGACCCCCCCCCCTTTGCCCCTCTCTCGAGCCAGGGTTGGAAGTGGCACAGCCCATCTTGCTACTGGTTGGGAGAGGACCAAGTGACCTACAGTGAGGCCCGGCGCCTGTGCACTGACCAGGGCGCTCAGCTGGTCACCATCACCAACAGGTACAGGAGGGGGTGGGTGCCCAGACCAGTCTGTACCCATGTCCTGGCCGAATGTGGCCCCTCCATCAAATAGGGTAACATCCTGTCATTAAACTGAGTCCTTTGAGCCTTAACTGGCTCCATGGCCTTTTCCTAATATTGTCTGATGTTTTCTAATACTAACTCCTGACGATTAAGCGACTCCAGTGTAGGGTGGGCCTGGGCAGGGGCACAAATAGGTATGGGTGTGGGCTAGATGCCCAAGAGAGGCTGTGTCTGATTTTCTCTACTTTCTTCTCAGCCAGACACAGGGCAGACAGCAGAGTGGGAGCTGGGTTGCCACTCTCCAAACTGCTCCTTTCCCAGAAGTGCTGTTGGGCAGGGTGTGGGGGCTGTTGGGAGGAAGCAGAGCTCCCCACCCATGTCCCACTTCCCTAAGCCAGTTACTAGTTGGGCACAGCACCTCTAAGCTCCAGGGGCAGGGCATCTGGCCTGTGGCCCAGGAAGTAGCGGAGACAGGCTCCCTGCCTTGACCAGCCTCTTTCCCACAGGTTCGAGCAAGCCTTTGTCAGCAGCCTCATCTACAATTGGGACGGCGAGTACTTCTGGACTGCCCTGCAGGACTTCAACAGCACCGGCTCCTTCCGCTGGCTCAGTGGGGATGAGGTCATGTACACCCACTGGAACCGGGACCAGCCTGGTGAGCCCCTCCTTCAGGGCACTCAGTCAGCCCCTTCTCTGACTTCCGCGGGGGACCGGTCCTGCCAGGACCCAGGCCCAGGGCTTCCCAGGGACCGGATCATTTGTACGGTGCTGTGAAGCTGTTAGAACAGGGTCTGGAGCCATACCACCTGTCTCAGATCCTGATTCTGTTGTTTATTAGCTGCACATCTTTGAGCCTCAGTATCCTTACCTGTCAAATGGAGACACTGGTACTTTCCTCATAGAGTTAATGTGAGTCTTAAATGGTTAGTATATGTAAAGCTCTTAAAAGAGTAAGCCACAATGCAGGTGCTTACTAGTACTACCATTTCACATTCATTATCTTTTTTTTTTTTATGTTTTTATTGATTTTTTTAGAGAGAGCGCAAGGGAGAGAGAGAGAAACATTCATGTGAGAAAGAAACATCAATTGGCTTCCTCATGCACGCCCCCTACTGGGGATCAAACGTGCAACTTGGGCATGTGCCCTGACCGGAAATTGAACCCGGACCTCTCAGTCCATGGGACATGTTCAGTCCACTGAGCCACACTAGCCAGGCAGTGTTATCTTTTTTATTTATTTTAGTATCTTAATTTTTATTTTTTAATTTTTGTTAATCCTCACCCGAGGACATTTTCCCATTGGTTTTTAGACAGGGTGGAAGGGAGGGGCAGGGGGAGAGAGAGAAACATCAATGTAGAGAAGAGACACATTGACCGGTTGCCTACTGAATGACCCCAACCAGGGCCAGGGATCGAACCTGCCACCCAGGTACGTGCCCTTGACCGGGAATCAAACCCGAAACTCCGGTCCACAGGCCAAACTGGCCAGGGGTCGTTGTCTTTTTTAACCGTTTTCATAACCTGATGAGGTAGATGATGAAACAAGCTCAGAGAGGGTAAGCAACTTGCCTAAGAGCTCACAGGAGTAAACAGAGCTAGGACTCTTCCTCTGTTCCCTTCCTCCCACCGGGGCCCCAACCTCACAGACTGTCCCTGCAGAGATGGCCAAGCTGGTTCCAAGTGCAGGGGCAGTGATGGTGCCCCATGGGGTTGTGCGGGAGGTCCAGGCCATGAGTCTTCCTCAGCGTAAGGCTGTCCCTTCCCTCCTTCAGGATACAGCCGTGGGGGCTGCGTGGCCCTGGCCACGGGCAGCGCCATGGGGCTGTGGGAGGTGAAGAACTGCACCATGTTCTGGGCTCGTTACATCTGCCGGCAGAGCCTGGGCACACCGGTGACTCCTGAACTGCCTGGGCCAGACCCCACACCCAGCCTCACTGGCTCCTGTCCCCAGGGCTGGGCCTCAGACCCCAAACTGCGCCACTGCTATAAGGTAGGCAGCCTGTGGGCAGGCGGGGAGGGAGAAGAAAGAGCGAGGAGGCAGCTCCCCTTGCCCAGGGGTCCCAGTGAGACCAGCCAGCCATGATCCATACAGTGGCCCCGAAAACAGTTTTTCCCACAGTGACTGCAGACAGAGAGCATTTCTGGTGGAACTCTTGTCAGTGGACTCCTGTCAGTAGGTGCGCAGTAAACGTTTGCGGAATAGATGAGACCATACAGATCACTGGTTTCAGAGGTTTCCACATGTTGGGGCCAGGCTAACTGCTCTTCTGGGGAGCTTGATAAAAATAACATCTTCAGGCTGCCACTCTGGAGATGGGTTGGGGTGGGGCCTGGTGATCTGTATTTTTAAACCCTGCTGGGTTTGGGAGCCACTGATGTAATCCATAGTCTTTTATTATATGAGAAAAATGAAGTCCGGGGGTCAGCGGGAGGGACTTTCTCACAGCAAATTGTGGTTCTGCTGCGGTAAGAACCAGCTCTCCTCTCTGGTTAGGGGAACTGGGCAGCTTCGTTTTCAGCTCTCTGATTGTTCTCCAATGAGCAGATTTGTCTCAACTAGCCTGGAACCCTGTCCAGTGAGGCCCCGCCCCCCTCCCCACTGCTGTCATGGGAGGGCAGGTGTCCCCTGGGGTGGTGGGCCAGTGGGGACAGCTTGGACAGCTGGTCTCTGCTCCGGCAGGTGTTCAGCTCAGAGCGGCTGCAGGACAAGAAGAAATGGGTCCAGGCCCAGGGGGCCTGCCAGGAGTTGGGGGCCCAGCTGCTGAGCCTGGCCAGCTATGAGGAAGAGCACTTTGTGGCTGACATGCTCAACAAGATCTTTGGGTACTGAGCCTGGGGCAGTGGCCTGCGTGCATGTGTGTGATTCTTGGTTCTGCAGGACAGGGCGAAGGCCACTCCACTGAGGCCTGTGCGAGGGCTTGGAGCGACCTGTGTGTCTGTTACTAGTGCCAGGACCATCCTGTCCCCCTCAAGTAGCCCTGGAATAAGAGACCCGGTGTTGCCCACGAGTGTCACAGAGCCAGCAACACCCGCCTCCCCAGACTCTCAAACTTTTACTCAAGGAACTGCCCTTCCCCACCCTCTTCCTCCATTGCAAAACCTTGTTCAAGCTGATACAAGTTGAGTGTTTCCCTGCCACCCTGCACCATCCCATAATAATACACGCTCCTCAACAAAAAAGCGTTTCCTGAAAGACGGGAGAAAGGCTACAACAGTGAGCATTTGGCCACGGGGTCCCTCCAGGACCTCATCTCTGCCCTGGGGGCTCTGGCACCTACAGTCCCATGGGCCCTGGGAAAATCCCAGGCTTCCTGAGATCTCAGTTCCAGGGCTACTCCTCCCAGCAAACATCATGACTGCATTATTCGATTAGTAATTATAATAGCTCATATTGATCACTTCCCACCAGGCACCAGGCACTGTGCTAAATATTTAGTTCTCATTTAATCCTCTCAGCATCCCTAGAAAGTAGATATTACCAGTGACCCTGTGGGCTGATCGGCTGAGTTATTTCCCCAAGGTCACTGAGCTGGTCCATGGGTAACCCAGGCCTGGACTCCAGGTAGATCTGATTCCAGAGGCTCTGATCTATCCATCCCCATCTACTTCCTGGTCTCTCTAAAGTGAAAGCCTTCAGTCTTGCTGGCAGAGCAAACCCCACCCACAGGGAAACCAGGGAAGGGAGCTAGACCACCTACCACCCCATGAGATGGGCGTCCCCCTCCTCCGCCATGAGCCTGAAGCCCAGATGGAGAGGCCCCCGGCCCCGAGGATTGCCCAGACCAGAGCTGCAAGGGGCGGGGTGCATGTTTGACACTTATGCCTCTCACCCCACTCTCTTCTGTCCCAACCCTTGGATTATGCTGAAGTGAATCTGAGCCGGAGATCCACGAGCAGCACTGGTTCTGGATCGGCCTGAACCGGCGGGACCCCAGCGGGGGCCAAAGCTGGCGCTGGAGCGACGGCCTGGGGGTGAGGGAGCCTGACGGGTGGGCAGGGGCGGGGTGGGCGGGCTTGGCTGTGGGCGTGGTCTGTTGGGGTCAGCAGGGTTACCAGTGGCAGTAAGGCCCCCTAACCTGGACTGGCAGGTAAAGGAAAAGAGAAGGTGGGGCCATCCAGCTCCGTTTGGGGGTTCCCAGCTCAGTCCAGGTCTCTTGCTCATCTGTTCTGGGGATGGGGGCAGCCTGCGCCTCGTGCCTCAGGACCCTCCTCTCCGACCTCTGTGTTCAGTTTTCTTACCACAATTTCGACCGGAGCCGGCACGACGACGACGACATTCGGGGCTGTGCCGTGCTGGACCTGGCCTCCCTGCAGTGGGTGGCCCTGCAGTGCGAGACGCAGCTGGACTGGATCTGCAAGATCCCTCGAGGTGGAGGGGGGTGGCTCTGGGGGACTGGGAGTGGGCTGAAGGGCGGCGGCTGGGGATCCAAGGGAGGGTCTCCTTTTCCTGCAGCGTCTCTGTGCATGTTTCCCTGTAGGCTCGCGAGTGCGGGAGCCTGATGTCACCCCACAAGGTGAGGCCCGCCCGCTCACCCTGCCCCCCACAGCAGTCCAGAGAGGGGAAGGGGCGACACCTCCAGGGCAGGGCTTGGCCAGGACAGAACGAAGAGAGTTAGGTGTTCCAGCTGAGAGATGGGGCACCCGCAGCCCTATTGGCCTGGGTCTGGTGGGCTCGAAGGCCTGCCTGCCCTGGCTCTGCCCTGGCTCCACTTTGTCCTCTGAGGCCAGGCAGGCAGCTCCCGCTGCCATTATTCCCACTCTGGCATTGCCCCTGCAGGCCGGCGGGAATGGCTGCGTTTCCAGGAGGCCGAGTACAAGTTCTTCGAGCACCACTCCACGTGGACTCAGGCACAGCGCATCTGTACGTGGTTTCGGGCTGAGCTGGCCTCCGTGCACAGCCAAGCTGAGCTGGACTTTCTGGGACATAATCTGCAGAAGGTGGGCATGCAAGTGAGCGGGGGGAGAAGTGGACACACAAGCAGGCAGGGGAAGGGCAGGGCCAGCAGCAGAAGGTGCCCTGCCCACATTAACCTGCCCACCTGGCTTCCCTAGTTCTCCCGGGGCCAGGAGCAACACTGGTGGATCGGCCTGCACACCTCGGAGAGCGATGGGCGCTTCAGGTAGGGGGCAGAGGGATGGAGGGCAGGACAGGGCCCAGCAGGTGTGGAAAAGGGCACTTGCATGGATGGCTAGCCTCGAACCCAGGTTGGAGGGAGGGAGGCTGCACAACACAGACACAGGTAGACCTGGATCTGAATCTAAATCTACTCCTCACTGGCTGTGTGACATTGAGCAAGTGACTTAACCTTTCTGGGCCTCAGTTTTCTCATTTGAATATGAGAATGAGGCCTGCCTGGTAGGATTGTTATGAGGATTAGAAACAAGGTATGTGAACATTTTTTTTTTTATCCTCACCCAAGGACATTTTTTGTTCAGGTAGAGTGGGAGGGAGAGAGAGAGAGAGAGAAACATCGATGTGAAAGGGACACATCGAATGGCTGCCACCCACATGACCGACCAGGGCCGGGGACAAACTGCAACCAAGGTACATGCCCTTAGCGGGAACCGAACCCGGGTCTCTCGGGACCGCAGGGTGATGCTCTAACCGCTGAGCCAAACCAGCCAGGGCGGTATGTGAACTTTTTAGCACGGGATCCAGCATGTTATTGGTCACTTGATCATGGCAGCTTATGTTAAGCTGGAGTCACGTGTGAATAAGGCCCCCTTAGGACATGGGCAAGAACATAATGATGGTCCAGAAGGGGCCTCTTTGTGTGCAGCACCCACCTACCATGCACTGAGGCAGGAAAACCAGGAGCACACAGGTATCAACACACCATTGCCCTTAGAGCCCTGCTCTGGGGTTCTTAGACTTCTCTAGTTAGAGAAAGCAGCGCCCAGGGAGGGCTGGGCCTTCCCTGGGGGTGCCAGGTTATTTGGTTCCCCGCTGCACTGAGCACAGTAGTCCCACTTCTAACCTACAGATGAGCTCTTGAACGTGGGTCCTCTCCTGCCCCCTTTCCCATGGCCTTCATTGCTGACTATGGGGAAGGTGAGGCCTGGGGCCAGCGCTGGAGTCACCCTTATTCGGTGCCATTGCAGGTGGACAGATGGTTCCATTATAAACTTCATCTCCTGGGCACCTGGCAAACCTCGGCCCATCGGCAAGGATAAGAAGTGCGTGTACATGACTGCCAGCCGAGGTGAGGGCGAGGTGGGGGCAGAGAGGGCGCAGAAGCCAAGGACAGGGTTGATGTTGAGGGCAGTAAGGCCAGCCTGGGCAGAGGCCATCAGTCTCTTTTCATCTTTGTTCCCACAACTTAAGAAGGGCTAGAGCAGAGAAGGGAGGGCCTATCCCCATATCAGCCACAGAGAGTTTGAGTTCAATGTTGGGCACAGGGACCTGAGCCCCAACCCAGCCTCCTCTTAAGGTACCAGACGAGGCTGCTGCCAGCCCTGCCTGAATTGGGGATGACTGCCCTCTCCTTCCTTTCTGCAGAGGACTGGGGGGACCAGCGGTGCCTGACAGCCTTGCCCTATGTCTGCAAGCGCAGCAACAGAACCAGAGAGACGCCGCCCCTTGACCTTCCGCCCGCGATCCTGGGGGGTTGCCCCTCTGGCTGGAACCAGTTCCTCAACAAGGTAGGAGGAGGCCCGGGCACACAAGGAAGTCGTGGGAGAGGATGTAAAAATGAGAAGGCCTGCCCTGGCCGGTTTGGCTCAGCGGTTAGAGCGTCAGCCTGCGGTCCACAGAGACCCGGGTTCGGTTCCCGCTAAGGGCATGTACCTTGGCTGCAGTTTGTCCCCAGCCCTGGTTGGGTTGTGTGGGTGGCGGCCACTCGATGTGTCCCTTTCACATCGATGTTTCTCTCTCTCCTTCCCACTCTATCTGAGTAAAAAATAAAAAAATAAAAATGAGAAGGCCTAGCCTCAGGAGTCCTGGCCATTTGGCAACATCAACAGTGTGGCCTCTTGCCTGTGCCCACCATCCTCTCCTACTTGGCCCCAATGCCAAGGCCAGACTCCATGGAAAACGAGTCATTGTAGTAGCACCTTCTGATCCACCAGGAAAAAAGGTTGTCCATATAGTTTGGTGAGTTTTCTACATCAGCAATCGTTAAACTTTTAAGAAAAAGATTTTGTATTGATTTCTAGAGAGAGAGGAAGGGAGAAGTAGTGGGGAGGGAGACATCCACGGGAAAGCGGAACATCCATCAGCTGCCTCCTGCACGCCCACCCCTACCAGGGGTTGAGGCTGCAACCTGGCCATGCGCCCTGACGTGGAACAGGACTAGCAACCTCTTGGTGCCCAGGGTGATCAACGCCCAACTCACTGAGCCACACTGGCCAGGGCTCATTAGACATTTTGATAATGAACTCCTATTAGTAAAATATTGAACATAAAGGTTGTGTGTACCTTATATATATGTGTGTGTATAAGTACAAAAAATATATTTGCCTCCATACTAATGTGACTAATGTTATATATATGCATAAGAACAAAACAATGCAAAGTATGAGCTAAAGGATTAAATAGTATTTTTACGTTTTTTTACTTTTTCTATATTAGTAGTATGAAAAAATTGTACTCACTCAAAAATTATCAATCATAATAACTTAATATTTAATTAAAAAGAGCAGTGGAGCCCTGGCCAGTTTGGCTCAGCCGTTGGAGCGTTGGCCTGCAGACCAGAGAGTCCCGGGTTCGGTTCCCGCTAGGGGCATGTACCAAAAAAAAAGAACAGCGTTGCATATTTTTCATTAAAAAAAATCTTTGTCTGACACTTTGTGATTTATGGCTCACAAGTCTTGTTTGAGGTTCAAATTTTTTCCAAACATGATTTTAATAGTTGTTGCAGATTAAAAAATTGCCTCACAAAAGACAAATAGATTGAAGTGAAAAATGCTCGTCTGTCACTGGCCGGGCTTTCTGAGGCATTCTCTCCATTTTTCAGTCCTACCTCAATTAAACAATCTGCCCCATAAAGTAATTAGAAGACGTGATCAAGTAGGCTGTTTTTTTATGATTGTTGACAGTATTACAGAGGTCCTCCTTTGTCCCCCTCCACCCAGCCCCCAACTCAACCCAGTCCTCACTGAACTATTATTGTCTGTGTCCACGGGCTGTGCATATATGCATATCAATTCTTTGGTTAATCTCTTTGCGCCCCACCCCCCTTCCCTCGACATCTGTTGGTCTGTTCCACGCATCCATGCCTCTGGACTTATTTTGTTCATCAGTTTATTTTGTTCATTAGATTCCACATATCAATGAGATCATGTGATATTTGACTTTTCTCTAACTGACATATTTCACTTAGCATAATAATCTCAAAATGTTCCCTCTAGAGGATGAATTTCTTGCCAAAAGTGGTTCTGTTTGCACCCTGGGCTGATGGATCAGACCCGATAAGACCTTCACTGTTTTTACTAGTGGCTAAAAGGAGCTTGTCCCAGCAAGAGAAGGTCCGTGTTCCCTTGTTGTTTGTGTTGGCATCATTAGCATGAGCTTCACCCCACGCTGCTTCGCAGGATATGGTGAGACCACTTGGCCTGAGGATTAGACTGGGTAACCTTAGATAACGTCACCCACAAATCTCTGTCACACGTTGGAGGGCAGCCCGCCTCTTAGTGCCCTGAAACTCTTTTCTCAGAACATCCAAGCGGATATTGTATCTTTTCTATTAAAAAAAGAAAAAAGGAAGCATGTGTATTAATAAAACTTTGGAAAATACAGAAAGACTAAAACTCACCCACACTCTCAGAGATAACCACTATCAGGATTCGTTACTCCTCTTCCTGTCTTTCTCCACATAACTGAGATCATACGAAATAATGCAGTTTCCTAGCCAGCTTTTCCCCCTTCGTGTTGTATTTTTAGCATTTTCTCATGTCATTAAATTTTCCCCAAAACGTACTCTCATGGCTTCTTTCACCTAATATAAAACAGATTATATTTTACATGTATTTTTTCTCCACAATCTCACTGCCTCTGAGCAGAAAATTACTGTAAGTCATTTATTTTCAGAGACAGAGTCTCCACTTGGTAAAGATTTTCCACACAGGGGGTTTCTTTAACCTTATGGAAGTAACGAAGGTGGGAAAAGAGAAACATAAGATTACAAGGGTTAGCCCGGCCAGTGTGGCTCAGTGGTTGAGCATCGACTCGTACACCAAGAGGTCGCCAGTTCGATTCCTGGTCAGGGCACATGCCCAGGTTGTGGGCCTGATCCCCAGTGGGGGGCCTGCAGGAGGCGGCCGGTCGATGTTCTCTCTCATTGATGTTTCTATCTCTCTCCCTCTCCCTTCCTCTCTCTCTCAAATCAATAAAGAAAAAAACAAATTACAAGAGTTAGAAGCTGCTGCCTCACAAAGGTCATTCAGAAATAAAGATAAAAGTATCCTAGAGATAATCATGCATGTCAAAGGGCAAGGTAGCAGACTTCAGACCCTTCTGAAGGTGTTTAGCAGAAAGCGAGACGGACCTCGGCCACCCTCCCAGTGCTTGGCCCAGGTGCTGTTCTCATGGGCGGTAGAGCCTGTGGTGACCCCAAGAAGCCCTCCCACTGCGACTTCCCCGAATGTGAGCAAGGGTACGTGACCTGCGGTGCCGCATTGAGAAGGTGCTGGAGGCTTGCTCAAGGGCACCCAGATGTCCTGGCTCTGAGAGCCCCCAAAGCCTCCCCAGGGCCTGCTGCTGAGGGGTACGCAGAGGAGTTTCTGGGTTTGTGGGACAGGGAGGTGGAGCTGGACATCAAACCTCCCCTTCCTCCCCCAGTGTTTCCGAATCCAGGGCCAGGACCCCCAGGACCGGGTGAAGTGGTCAGAGGCACAGTTCTCCTGCGAACAACAAGAGGCCCAGCTGCTCACCGTTGCAAACCCCTTAGAGCAAGGTAAGGCCAGCCCCTGGGGAGCTCCCAGTGTCCTTTGACTCAGTCCCCCAAAAATGGCTAGTGCAGAGCATGCGGGGGGGGGCTGCCCTGTTGTTCATAACTCTCTCTTTTGGGGGACTGCAGCATTCATCACAGCCAGCCTGTCCAATGTGACCTTTGACCTGTGGATTGGCCTCCATGCCTCGCAAAAGGACTTTCAGTGGGTGGAGCAAGAGCCTCTGCTGTACACCAACTGGGCACCAGGGGAGCCCTCTGGCCCTAGCCCTGCTCTCAGTGGCAACATACCGGTGAGGAAGCCCCTCCCACTCTCCTTTGCCACCCACCCCTAGCTCGCTGTGCTTGCCTTCACTCCCTGGGTCCCCCCTCTTCCAGCCTCTTTGCTGATAGTGCCTTTGGGGGCAGTGGCCCAAGGTGGAGGCAGCTGCTGGGGCTCCCCTGAGCAGCTCCTTTCCCCCAGACCAGCTGTGCGGTGGTCCTGCACAGCCCCTCATCCCACTTCACTGGCCGCTGGGATGACCGGAGCTGCACAGAGGAGACACATGGCTTCATCTGCCAGAAAGGCACAGGTACGTGTCACCAGTGCATTTGGAAACCCCAGCCCTGGGCCAGATGCTGCGGGCCATGCCAGGAGGGGAAAAGCCTGGTGCCAATCAGAGGGCAAGGCAGTGAGCACTGAGGGGTCTCAGGAGGAAGGTTTGGGATAGGAAGGGCTGACCAGGAAAAACAAGACACTGGGCATCCATGGTGTGAAACAACCTGAGGTTCTGTGTCTGGGGCACTGGCAGCTCCCTGCATGGGTTCCTCTGCCCTGGGTTCCGGGAGTGGGCATGGGTGAAGGCTCTAGCTTGCTCCTCGGTTTAGTAGCAAGAATGTATCAATCATAACAGTGGCTAACACTGTTAGTCTGTGCCAAGCACTATGCCCAGTGGAGACCTGGTCTCTGCCTGATACCTGGGGCTCCCCAGCCTCATGCCTGGGAATGGGGTAAGGAAGGCAGAGCCTGGCCTGAGCCCTGTCTCCTTCCCTGTAGACCCCTTGCTGAGCCCATCCCCAGCAGCATCGCCCCCTGCCCCGGGCACTGAGCTCTCCTACCTCAATGGCACCTTCCGGCTGCTGCAAAAGCCGCTGAGCTGGCATGATGCCCTCTTGCTGTGTGAGAGCCACAATGCCAGCCTGGCACATGTGCCTGACCCCTACACCCAGGCCTTCCTCACACAGGCCGCCCGGGGACTGCGCACACCACTCTGGATCGGGCTGGCCAGTGAAGAGGTGGGCCTCCAAACTCCCCCGATTTCCCTCCCTGCCCCTTCCTAACTCCCTGCATTTCCTGCCCCCACCTCCCTGGCTGGTCCCCTTCCTCCCACCCTGATGGCCCCTCCTGCCCAGGGCTCCCGGCGGTACTCCTGGGTCTCGGAGGAGCCGCTGAGCTACGTGAGCTGGCAGGACAGGGAGCCCCAGCATATAGGGGGCTGCGCCTTTGTGGATGTGGATGGGGCCTGGCGCACGACCAGCTGTGAAACCAAGTTGCAGGGAGCTGTGTGTGGAGTTAACAGAGGTGAGTGCCCACCTGCTAGGGTGGGGGGTGGGCAAGGCATAGGCCATTCCAAGGAGGATTTGAGGCCGCCTCCTCAATTCTGCACCCCCATAGGTCCCCCTCCTCCCCGAAGAATAAACTACCATGGCAGCTGTCCCCAGGACCTGGCCGAAACTGCCTGGATTCCCTTCCGGGAGCATTGTTACTCTTTCCACATGGAGCTGAAGCTGGGCCACAAGGAGGCGCTGCAGCGCTGCCAGCAAGGTGGGCAGGGCAGTCGAGAGCCCACTGGACATTTCAGGTGGTGACCCCTCCCGTGGACACGCAGACCCAGTGAACGCAGTCTCCACACTACACTTCCCGTAGGCACTCACACATCAGTGCCCGTCACATTCCATAGCCAGACCCTGTGTGACATTATACGTATGCACCCCTCCCTACTGTGCACCAGAATGCAGGGACTCCACACCGTCCTCTACTCAGGCTGCCAGAGAGGGGGGCTGGGGCCTCTGCTACCCCAGGGAGATGCGCCTGCCCTGATGTGGACCTCCCTTGTGTCCAGTGGGCGGGACGGTCCTGTCCATTCGGGATGAGATGGAGAACGTGTTTGTCTGGGAGCATCTGCAGAGCTCTGAGGGCCAGAGTCGGGGCGCCTGGCTAGGCATGAACTTCAACCCCAAAGGTGTGTACCCGGTGTGTGGCGTGGAGAGGGTGAAGCCTCCGGCTGTAGGGGAGATGCCCTTCACCGGGGCTTGGTGGGGGTGAGGACTTGGAGGGAAAGTGGATTCTAGAACAGTCATGCTATCTCCCATCTGCTCCTGCTCTATCTTGTCTGTCTTCCCCTGCACCCCCTCAGTGCTGTCTTTCCCATAGGAGGCACCCTGGTTTGGCAGGACAACACAGCTGTGAACTACTCCAACTGGGGGCCCCCCGGCCTGGGCCCCAGCATGCTGAGCCACAACAGCTGCTACTGGATTCAGAGCAGCAGTGGGCTGTGGCGGCCCGGCGCCTGCACCAACGTCACCATGGGTGTTGTCTGCAAGCTCCGGCGAGGTGAGCACCCTGCAGGCACCCAGCTCAACCTCCTCCCACCCCCACGAAGCTGGCATTAGGGTGGGGCCACAGGCCACTTCTCTCTTTATTTTAATTGATAATATTTATTTATTTATTATTTTTTGTTAATCCTCACCTCCTCAGGTATTTTTCCATTGGTTTTTAGGTAGAGTGGAAGGGGTTGGGGAGATATCAGTTGGTTGAGAGAGAGAGAGACATTGATTGGTTGCCTCCCAAACAACCCTAATGGGGTGGGGATTGAACATGCAACCCAGGTACGTGTCCTTGACTGGGAATCGAACCCGCGACCCTTTGATCCACGGGCCAGTGCTCTAACTGCTGAGCCAAACTGGCCAGGGCAGGGGCCACTTCTCATTCTGCAGGAGACAGTGCAGGGAAGGCGTGACCAGACAGGCCTGGGCCGCCGGAACCCTCCCCTGGGATAAATTGGTCTGTAGGAAGGACTGGCTCTTCTGCACATTTTTAAGTAGACAGCAAACCCATCATTTTGTAGTGGTTAAGGGCATGGGCAGGGTTCAAGCCCCGGGCAAACCACTTACCAACTCCGTGACCTTGGCAAGGTACTCAGACTCCATGGCCTTGGTTTCCTCATGTGTAAATGGGGATAATAGTACCGGCAGGATCAAATGAGCTAATGAAGTGTCTGGCACTAAGAGGGGCTCTGTGTGTGTTTGTCGCTGCTGCTTATGGCCACTGCTACTATTGTTCCTGTAACTGATCCCCCTCTTCCCTGCAGCCGAGGAGAGCAGCTTCTCCCCATCAGGTGAGTGGATGGCAGGGCTGAGACTCCTGTCCCCCTCATTCCGGGAGGCAGGCGGTGGGCTGCCTGGCCGTGGCGGGGCTTCCTGACCGACGAGTGTCCGTCTTGCCACAGCAGCGCTCCCAGAGAACCCGGCGGCCCTGGTGGTGGTGCTGATGGCAGTGCTGCTGCTCCTGGCCCTGGTGACCGCGGCCCTGATCCTCTACCGGAGGCGACAGAGCGTCGAGCGTGGGGCCTTCGAGGGGGCACGCTACAGCCGCAACTCCTCCGGCCCCAGCGAGGCCACTGAGAAGAACATTCTGGTGTCTGACATGGAAATGAACGAGCAGCAGGAGTAGAGCCCAGGGTGTGGGAGGGCCCCGGCAGGAGGACCTGGGTCAGCTGGGCCCTCACCCGCTCAGTGCACATGGCCTGTGGAGGGGTGTTCTTGGGAGCTGCTGCTGGGGGCTGGGGCTGGGCAGAACCTGGGCTGGTGGGGTCCTTCCTGCCCATGAGGGCTGGGCTGAGACCTGGGTGAGTGCATGTGGTGTTTCCCTCTTTGGGGTCCTAAGGTTTTAAGGTCTTATCACCTGAGCCTGTGCCCCCATGGTAACCAGAGGCAGGACGGAAGCCTCTTTCTCCCCGGACCCCCCTGCCCAGGCCGCTGACCAAGCCCCAGGACCCGTTCTCATTGCAGAGCCGAGGAGCCTCTCCTGAGCCTAAGCCAGCCTCTGTCGCTTCTGTTCTCCCCACCTGGCAGCTTCAGCTCAGCCCCTTGCCCTGGCCCCTCTCCCCGCTTCTCACCCAGCCCTTCCTTCTGAGCCAGGGCTCTGGGGTTTGGGGAGCCTTCTTGCTCTTGGTGGGGGTCAGCTCGAGGGGTCCAAGCATCCCTCATTCCTGTGCCTGCTGGGGTGGCCTTGGGGTGTGGCAAGGGTGGCCTGGGTCAGATCTGAGAACCGGGGCACTACTGTTGTCAGCTGGGTTGGAGATAGGACCAGGGAGAGACACTCAACTTCCTGGGGGCTAGGCTGAGGTGTCATCTCCTGCCAGTTGGGGGAGGGCTCTAAAAAGTCCCTGAAGAGTCCCCTGTGGGGACCAAAATAAGATCTCCTAAGGTTTCCAGCTCCTGGCTCTGGTTTGGGGGGAGAGGAGGGGGTTGCCAGAGTCCTAGGGGCCTCAGAGAAGCTGGAGCCTGGTGCCCTCTAGTGGGGCCCAGAGGAATAGCACCCATGCTCCGGAGTGGCCCCACGCGGGAGCTGACTCCGCGCCTTTCCAAGAGGCGGGGATCTCAGCCCCAGTGGAGTGTAGGCCAGTCCTGGTGCCACAGCGCGGGACAATGTGAACATGGACTCAAAGACACGGTCCTTTTTTTATAGTTTTTTAAAAAAAATGTGCCATTATTGTCAAAAGAAAAAAGAAAAGCACACAAATAAAACACCTGTAAGAGGCTTGAGAGAGGGGTTCCTGCCTTGTCCTGTTGTGGGTCTTGTTCTTCATATCACTTAAGAGATAAATGTCGTTCCTTAGTTGGCATCTTTTGTTATTTCTGCAGTGCACCATTCTGTTTCTATCTCTGCCCCACAGGGGTACCCTCACCCCGATCTCCTTTCTCGGCCTGCTCCGCCTTCTCTCTCCTCCTGGGAAGGTGTGTGTAGGTGTGAACTCAGGCAGCTTAGCTCAACTTTCAACAGGTGTAAATGGGAGAACAGGACTGGTCTCCTAGGGTTGCTTTAGGGTATTGAGATCATCTGTGCAAAGCAGTTAGTGCCTCAGGCTCATGCTCTGTAAGCTGTTGCTGTTATTTCTGGGCTGTGGCGCTGAGGCCAGCCCTGAGTGGGGCCCCATGCTGTCCACCTCCCAGGGCAGCCTTTGAGCTTCAGGAAAGTGCATACTTGTCCTTGGGAGCTTGGACTCTGAAACCGCCCAGAGGCAGGACCTGCCTTCAAGGTCTGCGACCTGCCTTCACTCAGAATACTTGAGCCCGAGATACAGCAAGGAACAAGACGCCCTGCCAACCAAGGGTGGCCAGGTCAGCCCGGTGCCGTGAGGAGGGGTAAAGCAGGCCAAGGGAGGTGTGCTACTTTGGACATGGGTCGGGGATGGTTATGCCAGAGGTGGGTGAGGGAGTGAGCCGTGCAAACATGTAGGCCAGGTCCCAGGCGCGAGGAACAGCAAGTGCCGTGGCCCTGTTGTGGGGTCCTTGGTGCTTCAGGGGACCAGCTGGCTGGAGCTTGAGGAAGGGGAGTGTAGAAGAGTGGGGGCAGGGAGATCAGTGGGGTCCCAGTTCCCCAGCAGTAGAGAGTGTGGGTGTTGGTTTAAATAGAGTGGAAAGTCAGTGGGAATGGCTAATCCGCTTGACCTTTTAAGAAGGTGGTTTGGCTTGTGACTGTAGTGGTGGTCAGAGTCTGTGCACATGCGTGTTTTACCTTGTCAGTGATTTTTTTTAAAAACCAAGTTTCTCCTGTTCTGAATAGGTAATAGGGTCACTTGTTCAAAGCCTCAATGATATAAAAAAGATACATACTGAGAAGTCTCACACTGTCCTTATCCCGCCATTTACTGAGTTGGGGGCTTATAAGCTGCTTTTCTGAGTCCAAGGCTGTGAGTTGGGGGCTTATAAGCTGCTTTTCTGAGTCCAAGGCTGAGGTCAAGTCCAAGGACCTCCTCCAGGTTTCTCCCGTGCAGCCCAGAAGCAGCAACAGGACTTGGGAGAGGTCTGGTCACTTTACAGAGGGAATCCCAAGTTCAGGAACAGTTTCCTTTTAGTGTTAAGTGTGTCCTGTCTGGGCCACAGCCCAGCTGCAGGCGTCACCCTGGGGCAGAAGCCGTTGCCCTGAGAGAGAAGAGTTGAGGGGTGAAGGCAGGGTCATAGGCTTCCGGGGTGGCAGGAGCAGCTGAGATAGTGAGGACCCACATTTCACATGCTGCCTGGAGGCAGTGACTGGTTGAATGTCCAGAGGTTTATTTTTACTTATTTTTTATTTTTATTTTTTTATCCTTACCCGAGGACATTTTTTGATATTTTGTTCAGACAGAGTGGGAGGAGGAGAGAGAGAGAGAGAGAGAAATATCGACGTGAAAGGGACACATCGAGTGGCTGCCACCCACATGACCCAACCAGGGCCGGGGACAAACTGCAACCGAGGTACGTGCCCTTAGCGGGAACCGAACCCAGGTCTCTCTGGACCGCAGGCTAGCACTCTAACTGCTGAGCCAAACCAGCCAGGGCTATTTTTATTTTTTATTGATCTCAGAGGGAGGGAAGGAGAGAGAGAAACATCGATTGGTTGCCTCACTTATGCACCCAGACCAGGGATTGAACCCGCAATCTGGGTTATGTGCCCTGACTGGGAATCTAACCTGTCGGTTACAGCCAACCGAGCACATCGGCCAGGGCGAGTGTTCAGAGGTTTAAATCACTCCAGAAATACCTGTTCTCACTTCTCTCTCCTTTGTTGGTGACCAAAGTCCTTGCCAGAGCCCTGTCCCTATCTACAAGCATTTCAGACAGTTTCATGGACCTTGGGGCCCCCCCACAGACCTTGATCTAGGCTTTCTTGCTGGGGTGTTCCTCCTGCCAGAGCAGAGTAAGGGCAGGAGGAAGGCTCTGGACCCGGCCATTTGCCTCTGGCTCCAGGGGAGCCCTGTTCTACTAGAGCACGTGACAGAGCTTCCTGTCTTTCTGCTCTTTTACATCCACTAAACATTAAGCACCTCCTCTGCACGCTATCTGCTGGGCGAGGGGTGCCCTGAGACCCACCCCTGTGGGCCCGGACAAAGGGCACTGCCTGCCAGGCACTGAGCCCAGCCTTCCCTGGCAGGACCGAACCGGCCAGCTCTGGCCACCTGGATGTTCGGTGATAGCTCACTGAATCCATGAATGAATGGGAGAGTGGTGTGAGGCCTTCAACAACCTCGTCAGGGCAGAGATGCCTGTCCCGGGTGTCCTGGCAGAGCTGGCCGGGCCCAGTGGACAGCACTGTGAGGCCGCAGGGGTGGGCAGCCTGCCAGCCACACCACATGGCTCTCCTGGAACAGAGCTGCCCCAGCCCTGCCAAGCGGCCTGAGCACGGGCTGAGTCTGTTGCAGGGACAAGGTAAAGATTTTATCTTCAGGGAGACCCCAGAAAGAAGGCAGGAAGAGGGAGGAAAAGGGAAAAGAGTTGGGATAAATGAGGAGAAGCTGCGGGGGCACCAGCATAAGATCAAAGTGCCCAGATGCTCAGGCCTGGGCTGCCAAGAGCCCCAGGAAAAGGCTGGCCTCGACCTCGAGCTGCAGATTTCAGTCCCTGTCCAGACACGGCGGGGTCGCATTGGAGAAAGGAAGGGCGCGGGCAGGAGGCGCCTCCCGCAAGAGACGAGTTGGTGCTGGCCGTGCAGAAACAACGGGCTATCTTCCCACGTTGGCCACGGCAGAACTTGAGTTTCAGCCCTTAGAGGGAAATCCTGATCAAGGAAGGTTTTCTTGGCCCAGTTGGCATTTTCTCCTTTCCTCCTCTAAGTTCTGAGGTCTTAGGGAGTGTCCAGGGATCGCCTTTGTATGCCCCTGCTGGCTAATAGAGATGCCCTTCTGTATCTCTCTGGGACTTGGGGACTTTGGGTGGTGTCTTCCCACGCACTGGGGCCCTGGGGGTTCAGGATGCCGCCTCAGACGTGCCCTTCCTCCGCGGTGATGATGATGACCCGAGTACCGAGCAGTGACCAGTGCTGCCCTGCTCTAACTGCTTGCCATGAGTTAACTCACTTTATCTTCTCGACACACCATGAGGTACGTGCTGTTGACCCTTTTTACAGATGAGGAAACAGACACAAAGGGAAGAACTGAGCCCGCCCCCACTCCTCCGCCCTCCTGCACTATGGACAGTGCTGGGCCAGGGCAGCGGCTGCTGCAGCGCCCCCTTGCGGTCTTGCGGTCAGGTCAGAGGCTCAGGAACTTTGTCTCAACCTATCATCTCTGCTGAGGGTTTCAGAAGCCTCTCTTCAGTTTAAGGGCTAAGAGGGTCCTTTTCTCTGGCTTCCCTTCCGAGGCAGTGACAGGTTTCCCTAGCTATCCAAGAGTAGAGCATCCCTGCAAAGGCAAAATGGCATAAAGTGGAGATGAGCATTCCTGGACCCCAAAGTCAGTGCACACAATGTATTGTGTTCACTGTGATCCAAACGCTTAATTATGTCCAATTTTACACTAAGTGCAACACCCCTATGAGCTCTCTCAGGGTTTTTGGATCCTTGGGCACATCTTGCTAACGGGTGCACAAAATAAATCAAAATTCAGCACAGATGCTCACAGACAGTCCCATGCTCTGGTGGTTTGATGCTGAGGTGCGGAGTGTAGTTCCCAGGGAAGGAGCTTGGTGGGGCCAAGCTCACTGCTTCTCTAAGGGCTCATTGCAAAACAAACACTGAACACTATTTTTGCTTTTTGTCTTTTTTTGTAAAAGCAAAAATCCTCTTCAGATTTCCTTCGGTTAGCAAAACACAAGTACTAATGTAGGTCTTTCCTACAAGCGAAGTGGTGGAAAGTGAACTTTCAAAAAGCAGGGGAGCTCGGCTGGTGTGGCTCAGTGGTTGAGCGTAGACCCATGCACCAAGAGGTCACCGGTTCGATTCCCGGTCAGGGCACATGACGGTTGTTGGCCAGATCTCCAGTGGGGGGCATGCACAAGGTGGCCAATCAATGTTCTCTCTCATCAGCGTTTTTTCCTTCTCCCTTCCTCTCTAAAAATCAATCAATCAAAAAAAAAAAAAAAGCAGGGGATACTGATATCAGGATTGCCTGGGTGGGGGTAGAGCCACGGGAGATGATGTCTAGAATGCATAGAGATGAGGTGGAGGCTTGATTGACAAGTAGACATTTACTCTCGGGTATTTTTAAAAAAATATTTTTTCTTTACTGATTTTAGAGAGGGAGAGAGAGATGGAAACATCGATGAGAGAGAACATTGATTGGCCGCCTCCTGCATGCCCCCCACTGGGGAGTGGGCCCACAGCCTGGGCATGTGCCCTGACCAGGAATGGAACCAGTGACCTTTTGGTGCGTGGGTCCACACTCAATCAGTGAGCCACGGTGGCCGGGCTCTTTTTCATTTTTTATCCTCACTCCAGGACATTTTTGCATTTATCTTCAGATAGACCAGGAGGGAGAGAGAGAGAGAGAAACAGAGAAACACTGATGAGAGAGAGAGAGAAACATCGAGAGATCACCACCCGCACAACCCCAATCAGGGCCGGGGACAAACTGCAACCGAGGTACATGCCCTTAGTGGGAACTGAACTCAGGTCTCTCTGGTCCGCGGGCCGATGCTCTAACCGCTGAGCCAAACTGGCCAGGGCTCAAACTCATTTTTAAATATGCATTGTTTCTTCTTAAACGGTTCTCAGTATTGGCTGGCTCCCAGATAAATCTTTGCTCTTCAGTTAACCCTCAAGTTCAGTAAAAACAAAACAAACAAAAAAGCCCATTTTCTCATAGAATTGTTAGGGCTTGGGGCTCCATTTGAGGAATTTCGGGTTTTAGGAATTGCATTTACTTCATAAGATATTGGCCGCCTCCTGCATGCCCCCCACTGGGGAGTGGGCCCACAGCCTGGGCATGTGCCCTGACGGGAATCAAACCAGCGACCTCTTGGTGCATGGGTCAACGCTCAACCACTGAGCCACACCAGTCAGGCCCCCCTACCCCCTTTTTAAAAAATCCTCATCCAAGGATATATTTTTCATTGATTCCAGAGAGAGAGATCTTGATGTGAGATGGAAAAATCGATCTGTTGTCTCCTGTATGTGCCCTGATTAGGGATCGAACCTGAAACCTGGGCAGGTGTCCTGACCAGGAATTGAACCTTCGACTCTTTGGTGCATGGAATGATGCTCTAACCAACTGAGCCACACTGGCCAGGGCCATAAAGCACACTCATTTTAAGTTTAATGACCTTTAGGACACCATCACCTGCCAAAGTCCTCTCTGGCTATCTGCATTTGGTCTCTGTTCCTAGTCCCAACCCCTGTGACCAGTGATCTTTCTGTATCTACAGTTTTGCCTTTTCTAGAAATGGCATATAAATAGAATCATTCAATATGTAGTCTTTCATGACTGGCTTATTTCACATGGCATAATATTTTTGCACATAGTAATTTGTGCCCTTCCTCTTTTATTTTTTTACTTATCACACACACACACACACACACACACACACACACACACACAATTTTCTCATGAGCCTTATCTGGCCTTTTTTCACCCCATGTGATCTGGTCTTTGGGCCCTAACGTGTAGTTAGGAGAGGAGCGTGGTGTCCACACACTAGTCCCGTCCTAACCAGCCCATGGGGTCCACAATGTGTCATCCCTCCTGATAGTGATGGTGGGGAGCAGGAAGTGGAGGTGGGGAAGGGACAGTGAGCTGTGCTCCCCTCTTCTCCCAGTTGGAGGCCCCGAGCCTTTGGCCAATGAGACTGAAATAAGCTCAGAGTGAAGCTGGGTGGATTAAGTCAGTTTACTGAAGATGTGGCTCGATTCCACTCAGGGTGGAGCCACTCAGCAGAGGGACCCCACGCTGCTGCGCCTGTCAGAGCTGGGTCCCTTGGGGCTTCTGGGCAGCAGCAGTGTGGCCTGTGGGTGCTCAACAAGGCCAGGCTGCTTGGCCTGTGCTGCCTGGAACTGGGCTGGTGGCTGTTGCTGTCCATACATGCTCAAGCCAGACCCCAGAAGAGAGTGGCATAAGGTGAAAACAGTAACTGTGGACACACTGGTCTCAGTTTCAGTAAAGGGAGGGGCGAGGGGGCACCTGGGGACATAGAAAGGGCGTCCGGGGGAGAGGTCTCTGCTGAGCATCACGGCAGCTCCTTGCTAGACCCGGCTGTTGCTTTCATAAATGCTGTTTTCATTTCCATCTCCCAACTCGGAATCTGGAAAGCAAGAAGATCTCTCAGACTTAGAGCCACAGCAGACTGGGGATCTGTCATGGAGGGGCATGGTGTGGCTACCCCTCCTGCCCCTCCCCCAGCCCCGGCGGCCAGCCATGCACAGGCTGCAGTACCTGGAACAGGGCAGGGAACAGAGACCACAGTCTGGGCTGGGAAATTCCTAGACTGCCCACAGGGCTTCCAGCCAGGCCAGGGCAGCTGGACTGTAAGCCCCAAGGAAAGCATCTTACTCATCTCCACATCCCCACCGGGCCTGGTGCTGCAGATGTTTTCAGGATGACTAGGGGAGGGAGCCTCTCAGGGCAGTGCCCCCACATAAACTCGCACTTCCTCAAGGAAAGGCAGCAATTGGCCTAGGCTTTAAAGAAGTCTTTCAGGGATCAAATGGCCAGATGAAGAGGGTCATGTGATGGGAGGGAGGACAAAGAGGCAGTGGGGTCTGAGTGAGCAGATGGAATGGGGGTGGGGGCTCCTTATTCTTGGGGAGACTCTTGTTCTCAATGCATATTTACCCATTGGCTTGAGTGAGTGCTCCCTGACTATTTGGAAACAGTTTCTGCCTGTTGAAGGACAGGGAGCAGGAGCAATTGACATCCCCTCATCCCTACCTGGACCCTCTCAGCTTCTACTTGTGCCACAAAGAAGCCCCAGCCCCACAGGCTCCCCGTTTCCTCACCCATCCTGTTCTTTCCCCCAAAGCCAGTTGCAAATGGGGAGGTGCTCTGGCCCCGCCCTTGGCCTGCAAGCCCTCATGTCTGCTCCTGCTCACACCTGTACTGATAGCTGCAGGAGGCATTATTCCCTTCCTCGGCCTTGGACTTGGCTGTGGTGACAGTCATTTGTGCCAGCTGGGAAGCATCTGTCAGGGGGCTGGGTCACAGAGAGATGTGACAGGTTGTCAGATCTGGGCACACCCAGCCAGGGACTCTCCCCAGCTGCCCTTACCTCTGTGCCACCTGTGACATTTGTGTGTGGCTTTCTTTGGTTACCAGATGCAGGGGTGGGGGTGCCTGGTGAGAGGGTTGGCATGGGTACCACAGAGCCACAAACAGGTTGGCATCTCTTTGTGCCTCCTAGTGTGCCCTGATGTTTTGCCTTTTTTCCTGCCTGTTTTCCCGAACTTAGTTAGGGCGGCAGGTCACAACTGTGACACAGCTTTGGCAACCCATCTTAATAAAGTGCTGCCAACAGGTGAGTCATGCCAGGCTGCTGGGGACCAAAGAAGAGTGTGGCCCCAGGGAGGGTGGAAGGCTTGTGGCTCTGCCTCTGGCTGCCATGGCTCAGAAGCCAGGCAGGGGCAGCATCTGACCAGCATGCCAGACGGTCCCTCTGCCGGGCACTGCTCCACCTCAGCTGCGGCCGCCAGCTGGTGTGTGTGCAGGGCGGGGGCAGGTAGAGAGGACCGAGATCTACATTTCCAGGGGAGAAGTGGCTTCCCCCACATCGAGGCTGGTGCAGGCCAGGGGTGGACCCCAGAGCTAGCTTCAGCTTCCTTAAGTAGGATGGCAAAAGACAGATCTCTCTTGAGCAACACGGGAGGGCAGCATCGCAGCGGAGAGCACTTGCAGGGTCCCCTCTGTAGAGACTCTTTTTTAAGCATCACCCCAGGGATGCTCTCCTCCAGCCCTTTAGAGACCCCAGACTTCCCCGGGGCCCGATCGTGGAGGTAGGGATGCCCCTTCCCCAGACCCCTGGGGAAAAGGCTTCGTCCTCCTCAGGACCTCTGGGGGCAGCAGGGCCCGCGCCGGGCACTAGGGGGCGCCCCCGCCCAGCCGAACCCACCAGGGCGCACCCGGCTGCAGCAGGTTTCTCCGAACCGGGAAGAGCCACGGGCGCCTCCGGGGCGGGGGCTGGGGAGGGGCGCAGCCGGGCGCGGCGCCGAGACCCTTCCCGGAGCCTCGGGCCCCGGAGCCCTCTCCGGCGCCCGAAGTCGGCTCACTGTCGCGCCCTTTCCGGAGCAGGGGCTCTCGCCAAGCGCCGCGATTAGGACCGGCACAGGCGTTTTCCGCGAGCTGGGTGTGTGCGCCCGCGACACAAAGGTCTTTTCTCCACCGCACCGCTCCCTTCCCGCTCGCTCCCTGCCCGGCTGCCGGAGGGGGAGCAGCTGCTCTAGGTCGACTCTGGCGACAATGCTGCCTGGCGGGGTGGCCGCCCGGAGTGGCCCCCGGAGGACGCCAAGGGGCCCTGGGTCCTCACCCAGCTGCGCTGGACGCCGCGCTCGCGCCCAGGACTGGGACTCTGGGCTCCTTTTGTGAACGCAGGGAAGCCCCCCTCCCATCCCCACTGCGTCTCTGAAAATGGTCCCCCCCGGCTTCTCAGGGGAGCGTGCCCTGAATAGTAAACGGGGTTCTCCAGAGTCATCGTCTGGGCCTCACCCTGTGCAGTTGAGCTGGTTTAGCTTCTCCAGGCACGTCTTTGGGGGGGGGGGGTTCCCCAAAAGCATCCGCGTGACCTGCTGCGTCCTGATCCCCAGGGGCTCACCCTTTGGCCTGACCAGAGTCTCTGGAAGGGGCCCAGAAATCTACTTTTGGTAAGTCCCCAGGTGATTCCGTTGGTAGAGCCAGTGTGGGATTTACTGTTCTCAATCTTTTAGGGCAGGCAGTTGTAAACTTCTCCCCAGAAGAGCCCCTGGGGACCGAATTGTCACATCCCCCCTCAGCTCGCTGTAATGTTTATTCTCCCTGCTGATGGAGAAGTTCTTCCTGAGTCTAACTGCATGCCCTCCTGCTTTAATCAACCACATTTTCTTCCGTTGGGTTTTCTATGAGATAACGAGCCTGTTGGAAGACAGGTTTGCCTCCTATGAGGGACCTTTTTCACGAGACCTGTTTTCCTTGCTCAACCCCTGAATCCAGCAGACCCACTTGATTGGGCCCAATGGTGAGGAAATCCAATAAAAAGCCACCAACTTGTGATTGAATGTGGTCCCTTTCGGTAATGGCTTAAACAGCCCCCTTCCAGGGTTTGGAAGGTAACCCCAGAGGGTCCTCAAGTACTGGAGGCTGGAGAATTCCAGCAAAGGAAAAGGGAAGAACCTGCAGCGAGTCATCCTGCGCCCGACAACACCGTCTTCCCTCTCGTCGGCCCTTTTCCTTGCTCTCAGGATGAATTAAAATTCTTATCTGCTCGGAGTCCACTTGGGCTCGCCTTCCTGATTGCGGCAGCTAGAGTTTCCCAAGCTTTGTGGGGTTATTTTTGCCTCTGGGTGGTGGTCATTACTTCCTTCCACAATATTAGGTTCGACACAGTGACAGAAAAAGAGTAAATTAGCAAACACCCTCAAAATAGCAGGGCTGACCCCCAAACCTACTTTCGTTTTCTTCTGGTCTGGATTGTGGGAAATTTCTTGACAACTATGAGAAAGAAGACAATGAAAAATGAATTGTTTTTTCAGAGCAATTGTGAACAGCTGTATCATTCCCTAGTCTCGGCGAGGTTCTAGGAATCCTTTACCATCACCTTAAAGGGGCAGAGAAAATGGGTGGAGGTGCCGCGGGCATGCTGGTATTCGGCACCTGCAGGGCTAGCCTCGTCCTAAAGACGGCTGCAGCAGAACCCAGGTCACCTGTGCCTGTTCCGGGCTTCTCATTTTGGCCGTGAATTGATCTGAGTAGCCAAATCCCATTCTGATGGGCCGAGAATCCCATTTTCAGGCTGTGGGGGCGAAGGCCGTGCTAATTGGCCACTTGCCTCACCACTGGCTTTTAAACAATCACTTGTATTCTCTGTCCCGCAGGAAGCAGCAGGCCCATCAAGGCTCTAGGCTCTCTCTTTGTTCTGACTTTATGGCATTTTATGCCACAAAAAGAAACACTGTGTACTCCGTGGGAGCCCATTGTGCCAGGCTGTGAGGCTGTGGGATCAGTGCAGAAGGCTGGTGCTCTTCCCGCAGGAAAAGAGGGTTTTGTGACAGGCTGGGGGACAAAACAAGGGGTGCCAGACACTGTTACTGGGACAACTGACTGTCTAGTGTGGAGGCAGCTGTGGCCCCTGGGGCGTCTCTCACCCACAGGCCAGGAAGAGGGCCGGAGAAGGATGGCACTTCTCACAGAGTAGCAGTCCTGGTTACCTGGTAAATTATACATCGGGACTGTTAACCGGCCTCACCCTGCCTCGGTGCCCGGTGACTGCATCGATCTAAACCAGCTCTCACACGCCACCAGGAAACACCATCTTGGTGAGTGTGGGCCTCCCATATTTTGGGTAGATCTGGTCCTTTGAGGCGAGAGTTTTGGATTTGTAGAAATGGTATGAATGGGGAGGGCTTAGAGAAAGTCTACCCAGCCTCACACATAAATGGATCAGTGCGATTTGAAAGTTACTTCAAAACCCTTCCTGCCTCCCTGGCCAGCCCTGCGTCCCGTCCGCCCTGGTTGCTCACTGGTGGGAGATGCCTGCAGCTGCAGGGCTCCTACTGCACACCTGGGGCAGGGGACCAAGGGCCTCACTCAGGAGAGCACTGCAGGGGTGGGCCGGGTCCCTCTGCCCTGGCCTTTCAGCACTCTGACTGGGGTTCTGTTGTTTTATGTAGTTAGTGAATTGGGCCCCTGAGGGGGACAGAGGAGCGCATGACAGGCCAGGAGAGAAATTCAGGGTACAGGTACATTTCACTGGGGGGATGAAATCTTACTAGAGATAAGATCTGTGGCTCTGAGGACACCCGGGACAGGGGACTTGGAGGAGCAGGCCTGGAATAATGGAGTGCCCTTGGTGGGTGCAGAAAGGAAGAGAGGACAGGAAGGCAAGTCTGTTTAGCTTCACCCCACAGGCCAGCTCTGTGTTCTCATCAGATTAAAGGGGGAGCCATGTGGGGTCACATGAGGCTGAGGCTGACGGGTTCTGTGTTCTCATGCTGGGTACTTGTGGAGAACACCACTCAGTGCTTCCTTCAGCCCATCTGTACCTCCCTCTGTGCCCACCAAGTCCGCCCTTCCCGTCTCTGGTGCTCCCCACCTGGGCCCCTTGCCCGGCAACATGACAACCACCCAGCTGGCTGGGCCCCCTCCAGCCCACTCCTGGTGACTGCTCCAGTTAGCTATCAAAAACGCAAACCTCTTGGCTTGCCAAACCCAGCTAGAAACCCTCGAGTGGCCTTCTAGGGCCGTGCACAAACCCTTCACATCCTGCTCCCTGCCAAGCCTCCAGGCTCGCATCCTGCCAGTCTTGGCCACACTCAACTCCTTGATTTCCCACGACACGCAAGTCTTTTCAGGTCTCTGAGCCTTCGCATTTCTTTCCACATGGAATGCCCCTTTCCTCCCCACCCACCTTTGTCCATCAGGGCAAACATCACCTCCTCGGCTGATCAGTGGACGGGAGCAATAATGGAAGCTGCTTGGCCACCAGGCTCTCAAAGCAGTGGGAAAACCGACAGCAAAGAGTACAACCTACTTGGGTTAAAATCAAGGCCTTGGAAACGTTGGCTTGTGTCCCTGAAGACCCTGCCTGGAGAGTCTGTTCTGGGAAGGAGTGGGAGGAGGGGCGGGAATGGTGGCTCCTCGCGTCATCTAACTTTGCTCTGTGTTCCCCCACATCTGGCTCAGTCTTCTGTCATAACACAAAGCACATTTTTTATACTCTTGTTACATGTCTGTTCTCTCTTTAGACTCTGAGTCCTTTATAGGCAAGGAATATCTTAATCCTCTTTGTATCCCCAGAATCTGGTTCAGAACCTGGCGCACAGTAGGCACACAGAAAATCTTTAAATAAATAAAGGTACTTTGAACGTGTGTGTTCCTTCACTCGGAATGCCTTTCTCCCCACAAATGCGCACTGTCACTTTCTCCAGGACGTTACTGGGGACTCATCTTCTGGAAGAAGCAGGTTAGGGTTCATTAACTTACTGTTTGAGCATCAAAAGGTTACTGAGCACCTTACAATGTGCCAGGCATTTTCTAGGCACTGGGAGGCTGTGGGGGTCAAAAGAGATAAGAGCTCCATGCCCCAGGGGCCAATGAAACATCCCGCCTCCGTCCGCCAGACCACATCTTTACTTGACCGCTTGTGGGCTTGATCAGTGCTCCCGGCGTGGGTAGGGTCTAGGACATGGTCAGGGGCAAAGGGCGATTCACGGGCGCCAGCATCATGAGAGGAGTAGACGGCTGGGCTTTGCCTTCAAATGGCTCACAACTTCACCGGGGAGACTAAGTGTTGGTTTATGGGATCATTGGAAACCCCAGCCAGGGGAGACCTGGTGGTGTCGGTGTCACAGCCTCTGGGAATTCACTGGGTCCACCGGTTCTCTCGACCAAGAATGACTTTCTGATTATTTTCTGGTTTTATAAATTCCAACTTGACCGTAAGCTCCTCAAAGAAAGGGACATCGTGGCCTCATGTCTGGTAGCCCTGACCCCATCTCAGCACCTGACACAGGCCAGGCCCATCACCATGACAGGCGTTCGGAGCACCTTGGTGAGACGCAGCCGAGAAAGCCGGTGCAGGGGCTCTCCAGTCCGGTGGGCACAGGCCGGAGAAGGACGGCTCTCCTCACGGAGCGCCTCTCTTTTGCTAAATGGTACCCACAGATTCTGAATATTTCTGCAAGAAAATGCAGAGGCCCAAGTCCAGAAGTGCGAATGTCACAGAAGCCCTTTGCCTTCCTACTTCCACATGGGCACCTCTGAACCGGCCAGTGTACCGGTGGCTTAGCGGGTGACGTCTAGTTCAGGGTCTCTCGAGTTAAACGCGAGCTGTGCTGAGAGGAGAGTGTTGTCCCCTGCTTTCTGTCCCGGTTCCCAGCTGGCTCCTGGCGCGCCTCACTCCTGTGGGCTGGTTCCACCAGAAGCTTCTTCAGGGCGGGCGCTCTGGAGCCTTGGTGTTCACCCACCGACGCACTGTCGCACTGTCGGTGGTTTGTTCGCTGTCTCCAAGGCCGGCGTTGCGCTGGCTGCCGCCACAGCCATCTGCAACCTATATCAACACTGGGTGCTTTGAAGTTCAATGTGCAATAAAAAGTTCATTAAAAAGATGTGGAATCATGAAAATGAGGTTACAGAAATGTTAACAAAGGATCATTTCCTGCTTCCTGTACTGTTATTTTTTCCTTTTAAAATGTATTTCCCTGAGGAATTTATGTCACCATTAAAACTACGGAAGAGTTAAAGGAAGGACGGGCCCAGGTCAGAAAGAGGGTGAGATTCCTGAGGAGTTAGCTTGGCAACCACCCAGCCTGTTTTCTTAACTGAGAACTTCGGGTCTAAAGGGAGAATTTGAGCCAGAAAAAAGTAGGGACAAATCTAGAATTCTTGTGACTAATGGTTTGAACCCAGCCTTTTAGTGTAGGATGGTTCTAAGTCATGCGAGGTCTGGGGTCACTGAATTCCAGCCTCCAGGCAGTGACACTGTGCTGGCAGGTGCCTCTTGTCTACTTGAGGTGGGGGTGGGGGGAGGGGAGGAGGAGGGGGAAGTGAAGAGAGAGGTGCATGGGCTAGGGTGGGCAGAGTGTCGCTAAGACTGCGGCATGAAACCATTGGTGGCTTGCTCACGGCCACACTGGCTTGCTTTCCAGTCATGACCTTCTGACGTGAGGGCCGTTCTGGGAACCCAGAACACTAAAAGGATATCAGCCCCTTTCATGACCTTGAGGTAACAGAGGGGCCCGGGCCTGCCAGCCCCTCCCCTGGCCCAGCCACAAGGAAGCATTTAACCAAGAGGGAAGCCCCTCAGGGCTCAGAGTTCTGACTTGACAATGACCAAGACACTTCAGAAGTCCACCTGTCCACCTCCCACGTTTTGGTTGACTTGGCTCAGGCCAGGCTCCAGTTAGCAGCAGACCCGGGCTTCTCCCTCCAATCACGAAGCCGCCTAGAGGGCCCTGGTGAATACATTGTCACTTCTCTAATGACAAATGGTGACACCATCAGCACCTTTATTTCTTGGCACACACACAGATGCTGGAATAACGTACCCTGGGGTCCAAAGCTAATTAAACGGCTCTCCTGTGGGGGAAGGACCCTGTTTTTCATGGGCCCTCATGCTTGGGCAGTGGGCAAGCCCATACATGATGACACCAGTCCCAGCGGCCTTGCTGGCCTCTATTTTGGGGGCAAATATCCCTAGAGACTCACTCGCCTATTTGATCATTAATAACCATTTAATTATTCTTTATGTTTAATAGTGAGCAATTATGTGATTATCACTTACTTTTCAGCCAGAGGGCTATTGTACACACACTTAGCAGCCATTAAGTCTTAGTCCTAAGGATGACAGTGTCACGTCCTACCGAGTGACCACGAGGAGGACCTCAACAGATTGCACATTGGACAAACAACGCTGCAAGATTTGGGGGACCCGCTGCTGAATGGTTTGGGTCAGAGCCAGACTTACCCTCTGGCGTGCAACCCGGCTGTAGTTGAGTCTCATGAGTTCTGCAAACCTCTGCTCATAGAGGTGAAGCAGCAGCACCAGATACAAGCCTGAATTCATCAGCTCATTTTGCACCTACATTTGGAAAAGAAAGCTCTTAAGTTCATGTATAAAATATTCATGATCAAGATCATGGCATGGAGGGTAACAAGGCCAATGGTGACAAGAAATGGGACAAGAACCCAAGCCCCAAGGCCAGGCCTGTCCTTGGGAACCAGAGAACAGAGCAGGAAGGGATCTGGGGTAGAGGCCAGGCAGCCACCTGGGAATTCTCTGCTGCCTCGTGGATGATGCCCCGAAAAAGCCCCAGGCTCCAGGCTCGGTATGACATGGGCAAGGCTGCTTGGCTGGTCCTAAAGGATGGGAGGGACTTTGGTAGGTGGTTATGGGGGGTGTTAGGGCTGTTCAGAGGTACTGAATACCAGCAAAGACATAGGAGTGGAGACAGCAGAATGTGTGTTGGCCAACAGTTCCTTAACTACTGGTATGGCTGGAGTATATGGGGAAGGCGTTAGTTTTGGACTTTTAAAAAATGTGGGCATGGGTTGGGGAGATGGTAAGGTGGGACCATATTAGGCAGACGTCAGGAGTGTGGACATCATGCTGAATGTATGTATGTAGCTATGGCCTTTGAGTAGAGGAGATGCATGTCTTAGGAAGGCTAACTTTCCTGTGGGAGAATCTGGGACACAGGTGCTGTGGTGGGGGAGGGTGTGTGCTTTATTTTCTTAGATCTCTCATTTGTTCAGAGAAAGGGTCAAGGCCTCGGTTCTTTACATTTCTCCCTTTGCAATTGGATTTAATGATGGTCTCACCTAAGTCCCCGCCCCAGGCTGATCTATTACCACTTAACCCTGGGAGCATGTGCCCAGCAGGGTCTCAGCACTGATAACTCCAGGCCCTTCACTCTTTTTTATCCTCACCCGAGGACATTTTTCCATTTTTTGTTCAGATAGAGTGGGAGGGAGAGAGAGGAAGAGAGAGAGAGAGAGAGAAACATCGACGTGAAAGACACATTGAGTGGCTGCCACCCGCACGACCAACCAGGGCCGGGGACAAACTGCAACCGAGGTGCCCTTAGCGGGAACTGAACCCAGGTCTCTCCGGACCGCAGGCCGATGCTCTAACCGCTGAGCCAAACCGGCCAGGGCCAGGCCCTTCACTCTTGCTCTTTCTACTTTGGTCCGTTGACTTGTTACTGTGCCCCTCTCCACCTTTCTGCCAGGCTGTGCCCACAACTTCTCTTATGCCTGTCACAACATGACCTCCTCGCGGAAGGCTTCCTAACGATTGTCCCAATCACTCCTTTACCCCGGACTCTGAAGTGTTGTCTTTAGTACGCTGCATCTAACACTTGTTAATGTTTCTGCCTTTTCTTGGTGGGTGGGTTGTGTTTTATTTCTCTCACGGGTGCTTAGAACACAGGGAGGTACATGGGGAGGACCTGGCTGCCTGGCTGACCGTGGCCCTTCTGTCCTCAGCTCCTTTGGCAGTCTGTGTGGCAAGGTCTCACCCTGTGGATGCTTCACTGACCTTCAATAAATTAGTGGCATTAGCAATGACTCCTCCCCTCTGCCCCTTTAATCCTCCATCTGTCCCCATGCCAAATCTCCACGGGGGGAGGAGGGGCTTGGGAATGAGCCAGCCGGGGCTCAGGAAGCCCCAGGGGACTAAGATCCCAGCACAGGGCATGTCCCTTTACATTGCCCTTGGGAAAGGTCCAAACTGGGACTGTTTTCCCAGGATAACTGAAGCCTGGTGTTGACACAGTGACCCCCTCGGTGCCTCTTCCTTCTTCCTGCAGCAGCCAGAAGAGCTTCATGAGCCCATCTCCATGTTCCTGTTCCATCAAGGGCAGCTCAGGAAGCTGGCACAAAACACACCTCTTCCAGGACAACACAGCCACCAGAGAAGGTGCCCAAATTGAGCAAGGATCGATGTGTTCTTCCTTCTGAATCGGGGCCAACTCCAGTTCTTGGTGACCACTGCCTCCGAGGTCACTGCTCAAGGCCCCTCCACCGCCCTACAGACTCATCTTTAAAGGCTCTCCAAGTGTCCTTAGCAGTCAGCCTCCTATTTTTAGACTTTAGTCACGAATTTCTGTGCTCTTCTGACCTTGGCCTGGAGCAGGCAGAGAGGAAGTTTGCTTGTTTCCACTATTTTCTGCTTTAATCGCCTCCTCCCACTTCCCAGGAGTGGGCGCCCCCTTCGCGGTCTGTCTGCAAGCCGCCTTCTCCAGGAAGCCTTCCTTACCCACCCCTACCTCTTCAACACAAACCAGCCTTGTCCTGGTTGCTTGTCTTCGAGGTGGGGTGGGGGAGCGGGGGTGGCCTCCCAGCTGCCACCCTCTCCTGCACTGTCTTCGCCAGTAAGCCTTTTATGCTCAGAGACACTCCGATGCATAATGGCAAATCAATCAGCTAGAAAATGGCTTGGAACGATCAGGTTTGTCAAAGCATTCAGGGAAATCATTTACTTTTTATGACTCAATAAGGCCCGGAGGCATGCAGATGGGAAAATATCCACTAATGTTTTCTGCAGATAATTTGAAAAGTCACTTCTAGCAGATTGTGTCTCTTCCCTGGTCTGTGGGAGGGAACCTGTCACTTGATGCCATAAATCTTACTGGCCAGGCTCCTTTATGTGGCCCTTTGCAGAGCGTGTGATGCTCGACAAAGGGGCTGGGCCAGCCAATGGGAGCAGGCAGGTCATAATCCGCAGGAGTCATCTTCTACACTCAGCCACAAGTGGGAGGGTTCGGTTATCAGAGAGCATCCTGTGGTGTTTGTTCACAAGGGCAAAACCAGCTAGGTTCTGGAGTGTTATTTATTGGGTTACTCCTGACCCACCCCTGCCCTGACCCAATCGCATTGCACTTTGACGCCCCGCGTGCAGTGTGGGGGATGGGTGGGAGGAGTGGGTGGGGAGACTTGAAAGGGAGAAGCAGTGGACAAGAGCTCTGGAGTGCTCAGCCCTCCTGCCAGATGTTTTTCTTTCGTCTCTCCTGCCCCCTTCCCCCTTCATTGTGTTAATACTCATTTCTACTAAGAGATTTGCTACCGATGGAAATTCTCCGTTTAATCCACTCCAAGAAGTGGACAGCCTGGCTGCGCATTCTATCAGGTCTTCAAATATGTTCAAGAGATGCTCCCAAGTGTGAGGGTGATTAGATGACTGCATGTGTCCAAGGACATCTGCCTGTGGTTGAGATGGAGCAAGGCCAGGCCCGAGCTTCCGAGCAGTGCCAGCCAGAGCCCCGCCGAGACCCTCCTGTGCAGCAGGGCCCAGATGGCAGGGGCACGTCTCCATCACACAGTGGGCATGGGCCCCGGAGGGGCAGCCCGGGCCATCAAGGACTACGACTTTGAGCAAAGAGTTTTAGCTGTGCATGACCAATGTAACTCCCCATTTATAAAAGGGTAGAAGTCACCACTGTTCTGCCCGTCTCCCCAAGGCATTACAGCAAAATGAGCTGATACTAGCGAACACAGTATTTCGCAAAACAAAAGTGTCCTTCCTGTAAGAGTGGAGAGTGGAGGGAAGGTCAGGGCAAGGGCTGCATGTGCCTCGTTTGCTCTTGGGCTTTGAGTGCCTACCCAGTGCCTGCTCAGTACATACATGTGCACGTGAAAGAACGAGAAAAAAAGGTGTAATTCTGGACCAGACAGTGGCCAATTTAGGCACAACTTTTGACTCTAGTGGCTGTGACAGTCACATGCATCAAATTTCTGAGAGGACCTTTTAAAACACAGTGGCTGGGCACCACCTTCCCCTCTCCCCCAGTTGCTGATTCTGGGGTGGGGCCCAAGAAGCTGCATTTCTAACAAGTTCCCAGGTGATGCTGATGCTGCTGGTCTGGGGACCACCCACTTGAGAACCACTGCTGTAAACACAGGAGCAACAGTTAGGAGCTAAGTGAGCTCAATCCGCCGGCAGAAGTGCCCTGGCTGGAAAGGAGGGAGGACATGCACATCTTTAGTGGAGAGTACCCTCCATTTTGCCACAATTGCCACCACTCCCTATTGATAATGAAGATTTGATTATTTGGGACCTGCTGGTGAGCTAACTTTCTTCTTCTTCTTCTTTTTCTTCTTCTGTTTTTTTGGGGGGGTATGTGCCCCTAGCGGGAACCGAACCCAGGACTCTCTGGTCCACAGGCTGATGCTCCAACCTCTGAGCCAAACCGGCCAGGGCAAGCTAAACTTTTCTGGAACCTGTTTTCTCCTGGCCCCCTCTGGAGCCTGGGATGTGACTTGGAGCTCTGGAGGTCACTACCCTGGAGTCCTTCCGTCCACGACAAACCGTGCACACACTCAGGCCGCACTCCCCAAGCTGTGCGGTGGTGCAGGATGCCCGTTGAGCTTAACTTTTAGGGGTCCTTGAATAGGAGGGAAGGAGAGCTGACTCCATCAACCCTGACAGGCCTACGATGGGACGGCCAGGTGCCAGGGTCCCAAAGTGCGCAGTGCAGGACCTGGGCCCCACTCCTGACACCCACCAGAGTTCCTAATCCAGCCGGTCAATGCCCAGTACCAAGCTCTGACTCGACGGGGCTCCCATGGGAACCGCTCAGTGGCTGAGGACCGCGGGGATTATCGGATTTGGATGCCCCGTTAGGGCTGCTGGGCAGCATTCACTCTGCCCTGACTCAGGTGCATTGAACCAAACCAGGAAAACATACGTTGACCTAAGCCCCTCCCCACCTTCCCAGACCATGGCCATGCTGACTGGGCACCTCATGGGCGATGGCCCAGTGGGTCTGTGGTCAGACCTTGAGTGACTATCTGTCTCAGAGTTCATCCTCAAAGGCACAGTAGAGGGCTCACTCCCCTCTTTCCTTCCTGGTCCGAAACGCCTCTTCCTCGGGGAGGCCTCTGGTCCTCAGCGCGGGTCAGACCCCTCGGTGGCTGTTCCACAGCTGCCGGCACGTCCGGGTCCGGGTCCGGGTCCGGGTCCACCCACATGGCGCTCACCTCCCGTCTCCGGTCAGAAGGCGGCCGTCTGGGCGCCGCGGCACCTCCAGCGCAGCGTCCAGCATCTCCGGAGGCGGCACTCAGTGTGTTTCAAAAGTCGGA